ATATTATAATCAAAAGAAATATATCTTACCGTTCATTTTAACACGGCTAGTCCGTTCACAATATAAAGCTGTGTACACACGTTCGCATCACTGTCACAGCACTCGCGGAACACACGCACTGGTGCAATGGAAAATCGCGTCTGACATCCACTACCACGAACCACTGGCCACTCTAGTGGTGGTGGTGTTTGAATAAGGAATCACGTCTGCGTTTAGAAACTGGCCTCCCGTGATTTGTTATGGCTCGCTTTATTATTATTACATAAAGAAAATATTTTATATGGAGGTCTATTTAATTTTTGCAGTTGTATGATATTAATGTTATTATTACTAGGCGGTAATAGTAATATCTTAGTCGATAGATTTTCTAATTAATGATATAAATGACGTATTTACTTTAATTAAAGAGATTAAGGATAAAATTAGATTTAAACTGAAATAAAATTTGATATGGACTGATTTAAAATTATATTTTTTTGTAGATCTTCTTACATTATTTTTTGTAATATCGAGTGTGATTCTTCAATACATCAAGTGAATAGTGTATTAATGATTATAAGAAATGTTAGAGCTCTGTACTACACTTTTGCACGTTATTTTATTGTCCCAATTAATAAGACAAACAATAAAAATTTCAGCGACTAATAGTTCAATAGGTAATTGAAAACATGCATACACTACATTAAACTTTTAGCACAGATCACACATACAGATAATAGGTACTATACTTTATTAGTTACATATTATGTAAGTTTCGATTTTTATATATGAACGTTTTAATATATTTGTCTAATTTATAAAATATATTTATAAAGCACTAGCATTACCCGCGGCTCCGCCCGCGTTCAGGTGACCAAAAACCAAATTCTTAGTTTTTACATATTAGTATACTCTTACATTGCAGTTTATATATTTGTTTCTCAGAAATGAGTAATTTTCCCAGGGTAAAGTAACCTATATGTTGAACCGGATAACCAGTTATCACCATACCAAATTTCATCAAAATCCCTCCAGTGGTTTTTCTGTGATGCGGTAACAGACAGACAGACAAAAATTCTAAAATCTATAGATTAGGCTTCTGGATCGCTAATAGTGTTTATTTCAATAAGATTTTCCAAAAAATATTTAATGTACAGATTCGGCTTGGTTACAATTTTAGTATAATATGTACCTATAGATTTATTTATGTGACCTAGGCCGATGGGAATGTATTTAAAAAAAGTAAAAATGGCGCGGATTTTCTTTTGTTTCCCGCGCTCTTGGTGAAATGGAAAGATGTCGGTATCACCTTGTAGTGACTACTGATTAGTCATATTAAATTGTCTGTAAAACTCAACGACCACTAAGCCCGATATACGCCTAATTTACGTACTTCTGCATCCAAACTTGTCAGTCAAAAGTCTGAGGTAAGCGTCACAGGGGAGGCGGGTTGAAATGCACGCTGAATGCTGATTGGTTAATTCAACACAAATAGTGATAGGAACCAGAAGTTTTATATCGTATCGTAGGTAGGTATCATATTTAGTAAAATAATTTTGTGTTTTAAAGAATATTTTTAATTAAGATAAGTTTTCTTTACTATAATGAAATAATAATAGAATTCTTAATATTAATTATATAGGCTAATTTAAGGCTTATTTACAGGTACATGTATCCTTGGTTAAAGTTTTCGGAAAACTGTCCCTTACATTCTGTATAACTAAACTACTACTTATTTACATGAACTTATTATTTATAAAAAAATACATTAGGTACTTATTACAATTATTTATTCTTTACATTTAGTGAATATTAATATTCATGAATTAAAAGTACAAAAATAATAATAATTATTATAAATAAATGTCATAATACAAAATAAATTGATAATAATACATAATAATAAGAAGTAAAATTAAAATCATCATTATAAACAAAAAAAAATACAATAATTAAGATTAATAATCATGCATTTTATAATAATTAAATAACTTATATCTAAAAAATTTACAGCACTAGTTACACGTTCCAGTAATTAAAGAAAAGTATAGCAACAATGAACTGCATTGAAAAGAAAGGGATGCATAGTCCGAGAATGTCCGAATACATCAACGCGAGTTGCGTTGCGACCAATATAACTTGAGCTCTGATTTAATTACATTTAATGAATTTGGAAATTAAAATTCACTTACCTATGAAAAGTGATGTCATTTTTTTTTTTAATTATATGTTTGGCTACTATTTCCACATCATTTTATTGTACAGGGAGCCATGTTGCGCGTCTGTTGTATTTTTTGTGTCGGAAATTCACGAGTCTCAAGCAATGTGTTCGCGGGTCATGGATGTAGTCGCTTCTGAAGTAAATCGTGCAATCGTTTTCTCAAGTCAGACGTATTTGTCTAACGTGTTGACTGAAAGTGTTCGCCTTACGTGAGGTGTCTATTGGGCTGAGTGGTCGTTGGTAAAACTAAATTGTTGTTATAAATTCTGTAACTAATCATTTATATTTTATATTTTAGAGTAAATGTTGAATTTCTCGACGGCTCTTCTCATCAGCTTTCCGAGCCAGTGGTAGCTTCCACACGGACAGACTACTGACATTTATAAAAAAATTAAGTTGATGTTGCAAAAGTACTGAATATAAGAATTTAAGCAAGGAATATCTCCAAGTTTTATTAGTGTCATCCAACACATATAATTAGATAAATATAGAGCAAAACGAATAAAAGAAATTTTATTTTAAAATACAATTATAAATACATATAAGACAATGCCTTTGTTGTCACATTTCATAAATTATTATCTATTATACTTTCTTTTATACTCATTTCAATTCATTGCGGGTTCCTTTGCGCATATAGAAGCGTGATACTATAATGTCTCTCGTCCCTTAGAATGTAAAATATATTGAAAGTAGTTCCGGAATATTTTTGGACAATCGATAAAATAGAAAGTTAATTAGTCACATTACATACTATTATCATAGTTGTAATGTAATATCGATTTCGCACACATATTTTCACAACAAAGGATTCTAGATTAAATAACACCTTTTATTTAAAGAAGAATCATATTACAGGAACATTGACTATGTATTTATATTATACTAGCGACTCACCCTCTCTCCGCTCGGGTTGGTTCCTAGTTACGTTTTAACGTTTAGTATAGACTTCTCAGAGATGAGATATTTTTCCTCAGTAAAAAGTATCCTATATGTTGACCCGGATAACCAGCTATCAATCATACCAAATTTCATCAAAATCTGTTTAGTGGTGTTGTCGTGATGCGGTAACAAACAGACAGACAGACAAAAATTCTAATAACTATAGATTCGGCCTCAGTATCTATTATAATGACTATTTCAATAAGATTTTCCATCAAATATTTAATGTACAGATTCGACTCAGAATGTTATTATATGTATAGATTTGGGTATGAATTTAGAAAATCATCCAAGCTATAAATAAGAATGTAAAGCATTAATATTAATTACTAGCGACTTACCCTTCCTTTTCTTCTTTTCTAGAAGCAAGAGTAAGGGAACTCGAGGACATAATTTATCTGAATACTAAATTTCATCCCAATCTGTCCAGCCGCTTCAACGTGAAATAACAAATAAACACACCTACAAACTTTCATTTATAATGTACTCATTTATAATATATCTATATAAAACAAAATCGGTTTTATTAAAACCTTTAAGTATAAGTCAGGAACTGCTGGACCGATTTTTATGATATTTGTTTTGTTGGATTTCTCTTCACTCCGAATAGCAGAATAACTATAAAAACATCGAATAATCAGGAAAATATTTTTTTTAACAAAAAATCTATTCCATACTAAGCGTCAAAATGTACCTAGGTACCTAGGGACGAACCTGAGCGAAGCGAGGGTGAGTCGCTAGTAGTAGTATATTTGTATATATCATAATGAGCAATAGCTTTCATAATTCAAAATGAGCTTTATCAAATTCATAATTATTAAATTAACTATATTTGTTTCTAATAGAGGGAAGCGATGAAGTCAGACGTAACATGCTGATGCAGATACCCACGTAATAAGTATGCACCTGAGTAATCAAAGGAAATCAAGAATGCAATCGCATCACTACAATTATCCAATTAGTTCGGGAATTGATTGTTCCGTGTACGCTGTATAGTTACTTCCGATTAATGTTTTATTTACGTATTAAATTAATAAATTTTTATAATACTAGCGACTGACCGTCCGTCGTTCGTCCGTCGGTTGATTCAAAATACAAACTTTCATCCCCATTTCTAAGTTTCTGTGCAATTTTCTTCATTTTTTTTTAATGTAAGAAGGAAGAACCTTCGACGAATGAAATTGGCTAATTTTGACCGGAGGAAAAAAAGTCATAAAACCTTTTTGATGTCAAATTTTACACTCTACATATTTTTAATAAAAGGTTTTTTGTCTAACTTTTACCGTTTTCGAGTAATTGCGAATAAAATTTTTTGACTATTTTTTTTGAACTCTTGCCGGGGGTTGCGGACATTAAAACCTTTACACATTGTTTTTGTATCATTAAAACTACATTATATAAAAAATGCAAAGTTGAGTGCCAACATTTTGATTTCAAACCTTATTTGACTGGACTAGTTTATTTACAAGTTGACTTACCATATATGTACAGCCTAAGCTGTTGGGTGTAAGCATGAAATTTAAAAAAAATTGACTTATATGTATAAAGGTTTTTTTAAAGCTCTAAATAGGGAATGAATGTTTTCTATGGAAGCTCGTCATATTAGAAGATAGAAATTGATATTTATGGAACATCATCTTACTGAGTAAATTAGATTATTAAAAAAATTGAAATATAAAATTTATATGTATTAAATAAAAAAAAATACATATAGAAAATTAAATTTTAAAATAAATTGATATTTTCTTTGCTTAGCTTATGATAATGACTAAATATAAATATAAAATAAGTAATAAATAAGACGTGGTTGTTTAAAAAAATCTTGTTTACTGTATTTTATTTACTTTAATTTATTTTAATCTTCATTGTTACATTCATCCATAATATCATTGACGATACTAATGATATTTTTGTTCGCATCTTGTAATTCTTCACTAACCAAAGCTCTTTTTAAAAGTACTAAAGTTTTTATAATACGACTGTGTTTAGAAATGTGTATTTTAGACATTTCTCTTGCTTTTTTAATCGTTATTTTAAGAAAAGTCAACCAATTTTGTGTAAATGTAAGGAATTCTGGTGTTATTTTTAATGTTACTTGAAATTGAATTAGTACGTGTGTCCACGGTTGGGATGTTAATATAGCTACTAAGTTGGGATCGTTTTTGTAAGCTATTGCGTGTTTGAAAATCGAACTTAGTGTTTTCCAGCCAGCTGGTGACTGGTTTGTGGTTTCCTGGAAAAATAGGTTTTATTTATAGTTATTCACAATAAGATGTTAAATAATATAAAAATGAAATCATGAGAGGATTTGAACTGAATATTTTTGATGGCCGCCTGTCGTAAATATATTTATATGCGTCTCTACACCGGGCATGTTACAAGTATCACTTAAAGCAAATATATTGCTATATAATTTTTTATATTTACATGGTAGGTGCGTATTATTATATATAAAGGTATTTTTTTAATATATGAATGTTTTGGTCTTAAAGATTAGATGTGTACTGTCAGTATTAAGATTTAGCTCAAACAGGCATCGAACCTGTAACTTAGATAATGTCTGTAAGACAGATTCAACACAGCATTTTAAAAATATCTCAATCAGCCCTATATCCCACTGCTGGGCACGGGCTTCCCTTCAATACGAGGGCGGTCAAGCCACAGTCCACCACCGAGGCCGAGTGCGGGCGGACTTCACATGTGTTTCAAAAACTTGCGAGGTTCTCTCAGGCGTGCAGGTTTCCTCACGATGTTTTCCTTCACCGTTAGCAAGTGGTTATCATGTTAGAAATGATTCGCATATGAAAATGTCAGAGGTGCGAGACCCGAGATTCGAATTTGCTTCACTTAGTTTTTCTATCACACTGCCTTAAAAATATAGGTACAATTTTGATAATAATGCATAAATTATCAACTTACGCGACAACATAACATCATTTGTATTCTAAACATTAAAGCTCGTAATACATTCGTTTGTTGGTTTACATCAACTAAATCTGAGTTAAAAGTCAAAACTAACGGCGTATTGGTACTAGAGTTAAGTACCATGTATACTAGTTGTAGTAAATAAGAGCCTCGTTCATTATCACTGTCGTGTCTCAGAGATTTTACTATTAAATCTGTTTTTACTTCTATTATTGATTTTGGCTAAAATTATGGAAAAAATATTAAATTATTTATTTATAACTAATGTTTTTGAAGCTATAATTCTTTTGGCACGTTTGGAAAAAATTACTAGAGTAAAATTTTTACGATGCGCGCGCACACAGGCAGCCAAAAAAGCGACATGATAAAGTTAACTTTATTCCTTTTAGAAACAGAGAGTTGTGACATACGGATACATACGGGATGAAATCTTTAGCTATTTTTGTACTGTTACGCCAAAGAAGTATAACTTCTTACGTGCGTACATAAGTACACACACATACGTTTTTTTTGTTAACATTAAACTTTAGAGTAAAATTACATTACAATCGCAACGGATATTGTGAATTTTAAAATATTTTGATTAACTAATTTTTTTTTATTATATTTAAAATTACTTTTTATCCAAAAACATAAAAAAATCTATTTATTTTAGGTGAGTTTGTTTTCAAAAAACCTCATCCATAATAATAAAAAAATACGATTCGTTACATTTTTTGGAATTTAATAATAATAATAATATAAAAATTAAACGTGTCATTTAAGACCTTAGATTATTTTTAAACACTACTTATCAATTATGATAAAAAAGAAAAAAAAACATACTTGAAATTTATTCTTGGCGAAATAATAAATTATGCAAGATAGTAGTTGTAGAGCGATGCAAGCGACTCTATCATCCGAACTGTTTGTTGCGGCTAGTACAGTAGGAAGGAAACCGACCCGGTTTGTATATGTTAGTAATACTGTTAAAAATTTAATATATATTTGACTAAAACACATATTATAGTTGTCTGAAATTTCTTATTTAATAAATATCATAAATATGTTGTGACATTAACACACAGCAGCATCTAGTTGCATGGTAAACTACGAGCTTGTGTTACGGATACAAGATAGTTGATATACTACACATATATAACTTTTAATACATATGTATTATAAATATATATTTATAATATTTATTAACAATTTAATGTATGTATGAATGTATTCAGCCCTTTTTAACGTCCCACTCCTGGGCGTGGGCGTCTCTTCAATACGAGGGGGATCAGGCCATAGTACAGCCATAGGACTAAACTTTCTCTAGTTTAATTTTGTATATAAATGTTTTTATCGCAAAATGACACTGAAAGGAGATATCGTCCAAAAACTGATTTTAGACATCATTTTTCCAATATGGCAGCGCGAGCGGCAAAAATACGAGGTGGCAAAGTAAAAATTGTAAAAGAGCACCTCAAAATCTATAAAATCACCAATTTTCAAAACTCCTGGAAAATTTTCCAGGTAAAACTACCAAATGACTGGGCTATAGAGGTCTTTTTTAAACTCCGACGCAGAAAGAGGGGTCTGTCTGTGGCATCGTAGCTCTCAAACGGATGGACCGATTTCGATGCGGTTTTTTTATTTGAAAGCCAGTTTCCTTGCGGTGGTTGTTAGCTATGTTTGGTGAATATCGGTCCAGCAGTGTAAGAGTATCAGCTCTTTTCCAAATGATGTAAGGCCTTTTGGCGTATGATTACTCTATTAAGTGCTTCACGCGTTCCAATATAATCGTTAAATGACAATTAATTTGTAGGGGTTTTTTTAAATTTTTAATTTATGACATCATCCTCCCATCACAGGCACTATATGCCGCGACCATAACTGTTATACATACCTTTATTATCTTTATGGTCCCGCGAAACGCCTAGCAGTAACAAACACAATTTCAAACACACGTATTCAAAGTGATTTCTACATTCAATATTAGAGTCTGGCGTGTTTTTTGAATATAGCGTAGTTATAAGGACGGCTATTTTGATGTAAGTAGACTGCACTAGGTCAGACGGTAATTGTATTATTGCTAAATCTAATATATAGATTATGTTTGTGTCAGCTAAAATGAGCAAGAAAATATATTAGTTTGCTTTTTAAATATTTGCGAATTACATGAGTTTTCAAATGTATGGAAATGGAAAATTTTATGGTCCTATTATATATGTGAAAATTAATCTGAATCTCGGAAACGGCTTCAACGATTTTCATGAAATTTAGTATACAGGGGGTTTCGGGGCCCATTATTCCATGCAAAATATGGTCGGTAATTTGCAAATTCTGATATAAGTATCGTGGTCAATCGTCTGAGGTGCAAGATCAACATTCACAGGTGTCCAGGTTCGAATTTCGGTCGGATACGAAGTTTTTTTTTTTAATATTTATTCAAGTCTTTAGTTTAAAAAAAAAGAAAAGAAAATTGTACTTTAGGCCAAAAACTCCGAGCGAAGCTCGGTAACCCAGGTGCTAATATATTAATATTACCTAAATCATTATCCCGATCTATTAAGGCATTAGACAAAATATTCGGGAGCAAGGACCATATTAAAATGGCGAATTTATCCTTTGCATTCTCATCGGCATCTCTCATACACATGTTGAGAGCGTCCATACAGTTTGTTATTATTGCACTATCTTTACTTTGTATTATAATATTTAGAAGTAATTCCCATATCAACGGTTCTTTTGTTAAATCGCTTGGCAAATTATTCTCGTTTTTAAACCATTCTGATAACTGTTTAAAAAAATTGTTTTAAAAAATCAGTTGAAATTAAATTTTATTTGCCTTTATAAATAAGTAGTTCTCAGTATAATATGAATATAATCTATGTCCTTTATCTTCAATAGGTATATCCTACTAATATACTATATAAACTTTATATGGATTTATATTTGTTACTCTTTCACATAAAGACTACTGAACGGATTTTGATGAAACTTTACAGTAATATAGATTATACATCAAAGTAACACATAAATATATTCGCACATAATGAACCGACTTGGGGATACGCCCCTCACGGTGGTTTTTTTTCAACTCCTTCGTTAGATGACGTATAGTAAACTGTGACATTAGAATAAAAGTAGGTATATGTACAGACTAGCGACTCACTCTCGCTCCGCTCGGGTTCGTCCCTAGATACGTATTAACGTCAGTATTGATTTTCCAGAGATAAGATATTTTCCCGCAGTAAAAGTATGTTGACCCGGATAACCAGCTATCATCATACCAAATTTCATCAAAATCTGTCCAGTGGTTTTCTCGTGATGCAGTCACAGACAGACAGACAAAAATACTAAAAATTATAGATTCAGCCTCTGTATCGATAATAATGACTATTTCAATAAGATATTCCATTAAATATTTTAATGTACAGATTCGACTTACAATTTTATTATATGTAAGTATAGATTAAACTTAATTATTTTACCACTTGTAATCTCAGTATATTAGAGATCCGTAGTGATGTGAATGTCCAGAACAATATGGCCGGGTTATGCGTATAGTATAATGAAGATTCCGGGTTTAGTAACGTGATCAGACGATCGGTGGCTTTCTCTAAATATACTCTTTGTTCTAACGATTGAAGCGAACCGTTTGAAACTGTCGACATCTTATTGTAAAACAAAATAAAATCTTAGAATATCGTAATTTATTTATATAAAAAAAATAGAAAATATCGGATAAATATATTAATAAAAATATCGTTGAAATGTTATAAAATAAAAATGTTTTTTAATATTAATTAAGCCCCGGTATCACCTCTATAATATTCCGTCGCGGCGACACTGCAAATGTCACTGGGCGACAAAAAGTGTTTATTTTAGAAGTGGGCATTAACAAGAGAATTGAATTGAATTAGAAGTAGGCAAGAGAAAAAATAATTTCAATTTATTTATTTTTTATTTTTCTAGCTCTTTTAATAAATAGCCCAGTGACAAAATGTTCAAAAATCGCACTCCCATCCCATCGAGCAGTTACTAAAACCACGGTAATGTTATATAAACATTACCCTACTAAAACTGTTTATCAAAAAATTACTAGATACAAACAATCCCATGGAAAAGTTCTCTTAAAACTGTCACCAATTGTGTTTAGGTAATTATTCTAGTTGAAATAAATACACAACAATGTAAATGTAAATAAATACACAACAATCTCAAATGCAATGTAGAAAGTATTTCACAAAAAAAAACATTAAAAGCGCGCTCAAATATTCAAATGAGCGCTCATTCGGTGAGGACATTTTTTGTCTCTGATTGTGTATCTAGTAGTTTTTAGATTGATGCTCTCATGTCTATCTTAAAGATAATCTTTACGTTCATTAGACTTGATAACAAAACGTTGTCGTAAGGAAAATTTTTATTTACAGCAAAAACCAGCCACAGTGCCTTTGTTATATGACCTGGTAATTTTAAGTTTTTAGGTATTCGCAAAAGATATTCAATTAAAAACGGTAACAAAAGAGATGTTGATTCTTCGGGACTGAAAAAAATAATTATTTAAAAAAATATGCTTAAACATAATAAAAACAATATAATTTTACTAAATATTAGACGGCTCAATGAAATATTGATAGGAACACATATTTATAAACAAAAATAAAATAATACTTCTCTGAAGATTGACAGTAGAAATAAATATAAATCAATAAGCTGTAAGGTTGGTTCTTTTGTAATAGCATTCCTATATTTTGTTTATTTTCTATGCCGTATTGTAAGTCTACTAAATCCATCTAAAATTTAAAAAAACTTGTAAGTGCGCCATTAGTGTTCAATGATACCGGAGTCATGTACCTATAATTGCTTATGCGGTTGCTTACCCATATAAACTTTCACCCCCATTTTTACCTTCTTAAGGGATAAATATTATCTAATCTAATATTTTCTTACCAAATTTCATTTAAATCAGTTCAATAGTTTCGGGAGTTTATTCGGCACATACAAACAAACAAACAGAAAATCTTTCCTCTTTATAATATTAGTATAGATTGTTTTCTAGTAAATTTTACTTATTTTTAAAAGTTTTAAATAAAACCATGGATGCTGTAAAGCATTCGAAACGTCGGGAAACAAAAATACAAATAAATCCGCGACAAAATCCGAAAAGATAGTTTTATTTAAAATGTCAAATATTCGCGTAAATCTAAGAAAGTATTATTTTTAAAAGTGTAAAAATAAAAACTACGATTAATGAAACTATGAATTATAATATTTTTGACTGCACTTGGAAAGATTTTAGTGACGTCCTAGTGTGAAGATGTCCTATGATGTGACCTTAACTTTTTCTCCTAGATTGAAATTAAATATTCTTTCAAGCAAGCTTTCAAGCCCCGCGTCTGTATTGGCTTTTAGAAACATCATAAATTCAGTTTTTATAAGTGGTAATTTTTTGGTAATAATATTTATTTTAATTGAGTACTTATCTATATTTATACTAATAATATATAATATTATAAAGAGGTAAAGTTTGTGAGTTTGTGATGTTGTAGGAGATATAAATTAAATTTTGTAAGAATATAGTTTGAGACTCTGGGAAGGACATGGGATACTTGTTATCCCGGAAATCATCCCTTAAGGGGGTGAAAATGGGGATGAAAGTTTAAATGAGGAATCAAGCTTTTAGCTAGGAACGATAACTTACTTCAATATCTTTGGTACAAATTGCATTGCATTCGTTATCTTGAACATACAAGTACTTTGTAGTTAAAGCCTTAAGCATTTCTCCCAGAACTAAAGTGCTAACTTTACGTATTGTTGGATCATCTCTACATTAAATAAATTGTTATTAATGCACATGTTTTTTTTTAAATATAGTACATTTTTTTAAATGTGTTTTTTTACCTTATTATTTGTATTTGCGGCAACGTAATTAAATACCCTTTAGAAAATAAGAAATCGCAAAAATCTGACAAAACTTCGGTTTTAGCATTTTCATATATAAAACTGAGAAGGAATTTCAGAAATATTCCATATTCCTCTGTACTTATTATGGTTTGATTATCCTATATGTAATATTATGTTAAGTAAATAAGAAATTTAACTATACTGACAAAAATTGCATTTTCATGAGTTTGATAGGATGATATTTATAATACGTTTTTATAAAAAAGTTTTTTTAAATATATTTTTATACCTTATTAAAAATAACCAGTTCTTTTATAATGTTATGAATTGATTTTTTTATTTTTAATGCCGCGTCCTTTAGGGTTGTTAGCTCTTGTTCATCAATTAATACTGTGTTGACAAAGTCCGATGGCATTTTTGCTTTTTGTAAAGCATTTATCAACCTAATGAAAAATGTATTTTTATGTGTTACTAGATAATTATATTTGAAATTGTATTTAGTGTATATATTGTATATTTAATTATCAAAGTTCTTAAAATAAATAGTATTATCGTTTTTAATCATTAATTTATTTATCAAAGCGATTATATCAAAATCGATTAATTTTAAAATTATCTATTAATCTACACGCACTTTTGAAAATGTCTATATGAAATAAATGCACACTGCACTATAATATCTAGCAGTTGTAACGTAATTGGCCAGTCTTTCAGATTCAGTCAAATTGGCCGCCGTGGCCGAATTCGGCCAACATCACCATCATCATTTTATAAAGTTATGCTTTTAATAGAAATTCTGACTTACCTAATCGTATCCATTCCAAGTTGACAAGTAACAAGTAGCATGGAACCTATATCGCCATTTTCCCCAACCAAAATTATACGATTTAGTCCACCTATAAGTAACTCAAACCATTTATCTAAAACCTCTCCTAGCAAAGTCGCTATTTTTCCATTGATATCTAACGATGGAGGTTGGTATGAGATAAGCGCATGAAGAACAAATGCACTACATAGTATGGTGTTAGATTTGTTATTAATATGAGATGATAAAGATATAAGGCAAGCTAATAATTGCTCTGTATTATAAGCGCTTTGGTGAGACAGTGCGGATGTTGTTCCATGCTCCTTTATGCTAAAAAACAAAAAAAAATATGGGAATTATGTACGAGTATATAAAACAAATTTGAATATATCTATAGCTCTCCTTGATTATTTCTGTTTTTATCATAAATAAATAGTAATAATAATAACAATTAAATATTACTTTAGATATAGTATGAACATATATATAAAAATTTATTATGGAATCAATTTTAAATACCCATTTAATAGATCGCATATAAAATGCAAGCATCCTTCAACTGCATTAAACGCATCGATTGCTGTATAGTGTACAAGACTTCGTATTATAGCCGATAAGGCATTCGATGCGTGTTCTTCCTCAAAAAAACGTTTCACACGCCATAATAAACGGATACATTGCAAAATTGATCTATGAATAAGAAACATGGAAAATAAATAGATATTTTAAATGTTTAGCATAATAATAATGTCCTACTGATCGATTTCGGCCACGGGGGCCATTCTCAATGAGACTAGGCTGCTAGATGAGCAGGAGATATTATAGTGCAGACACAACGAGTATTCCTGTCGCTCTCAAAGTCCGGTGGGAAGATACTTCGATATGACCGGTGAAAGTTTAACTTTTTTGGGGGGTGAAACACCGCCAACTTTCCAACTTCGGGCTGTTACTGAGAAGTCTTGATAGAACTAATCAATAACTGAACTTCGCCCGACCCGGGACTCGAACCCAAGACTATTTATACTACTTGTCATACGAAGAAACATTATACCTTGTAAACTTTGAATATTTTGAAGTTATACTTGGTTTGGGACTACACAAACGAAGTCGTGGAAATAGGTGATTAATAACAAAATACATTGAATTGCTAACAGAAAACATTACACTTACCGAAAAAGTGACGAATCTAAATTTGATGTAGCTTCACAAAGAAATACAGTTATATCGTTATCTAATAAATACTCTATTAGACGTGCTCTTTCACTTGAAGAACAATTATATTTATTAACAGCGTCGATCAGATATCCACACGCTTTACTTTGAGATTCTGTATCTCTAGATGTTAATAATCTTTTAATATCGCACAACACATTTTGTCGTCCGTTAGGATTGTAAGTTCGGTTAAAATTTGTATTAACTAAGCTATGCATTTATAAAAATTAAAGTTAAATTAATTTATGAAATAAATAATCGCAAAAAAGTTCTGAAATATTGAATATTGCCGCCAAAATAGATAAAATGTGGCAACAAAGATTATATAACGAATTATGTCGGTCAATTCTTAAAAAAAAATTAAATTGGCGAAAAATAAATGTTTTATTACAATTTAAAATAAGATGGTTATGTTTTAGAATTTTTCTAATTATACATTTCTAAGTTGTTAATGTACTAATACCAGTGATTAATGAGGCAACATTTTCTAATGTCATTCTCATCTGGTTCTGGTTTGCTTTTGCTAGCCCTTAGTAAATCTATTTAATTTTGGATTATTTTATCGTTTTATGGTTTCATAAAATTGTAAATCTTTGTATTTATAACCTGGTAATCTCAAAATAGAATCACAATGGTATGAGTACTCTCATGTTAAGATCAACCTGTTAAATACGACAGTTCTGTAAATTACAAAAGCATTCCATCCATATTTTATACGAAACATTATTGATATTTGCAGTCGGTTATGGAATTCCTGAAAGATTTACCGTCATATGATGAGCACAACTTCACGTTATTTAATACTGATCATGGCATACGGAATTGTTCGAAAAGACCTTCAATATATCTCCCCACCAAGGATATTCCTTCTGAACAAAGTTGAGTATAAGATTTTATTTGCTTAAAAAGAAAAGTGTGCCTTACTTTTCGTTATTAGTAAACATATTTAGTTTATATTTATGTCGCTTAACTTCAAAAGTAAGTCCAATATGGATAGATCAATATAGAATAGATGATAAAAGTAGTACTGAACTGATTTAAAGTTTGATACATAAACATATGCTTTATTATAAATTTGAGTTCTTTTGAAGTTATCTAACAGATTTAATACTTATATTAATTAAATTCTTTTGTATTTTTAGTTATAGTAACAGAAAAAACAAATATCCTATTAAGATATTTACATCAACAGTGGGAGAAAAAGGTAATTTATTTCTTATTTTATGATTAATAAAAACTTAAGCTGATAAATAAATAGACATGAGTTATGACATATACCGTTATAAAAAAGAAGGTTGAAGAAGTTGATTCCCAGATATTTGAACGTTTGTCTTATTACTTAATAGTAGTTTTGACATAGTTATGATGAAAATGGTTATGGTATCTTTGGATTCATAAGACTTAGAGCTTTATGAGTAAGACAATCAAGTAGCATTTTTTTACTGATTTCGAATCTGCGTTTAAGTAATTTTTGACCAAATTGTTAGGGCTTGCTTTATTATGACGGCGGTATATATGTCATCAGATAAGAGCCATAAATCAGTGAAAGATAAATAAGATCAGTGTTATAAATGTTATATAAAAAACTTGTTTGAACCAAAGTAGTGCTGTGCTAGTTTTTTTATTAAATAAATGTATAGTACAATTTTTTCATGTGTAATCAAAATTTATTTTAATATATATCCAGAAATAGCATTAAAAATTTAAGTAATAGTATAAAAAAGTTTTAAAAGACAAGAAAATAAAAAGTGCATATTACAAGACTTCCGCCATACCATCCACACAAAGAGAGACAATAGCATTCCCAAGGAGGGTTGACGTCAGGTAGGCGGCCGGTCATAAAACTTTTGCCAAATCCTTTCAGCAGTACAGAAGATGTACTGCGCCGACCCCAAGTGATTGGGAAATGGGCTAGGGGAAGAAGAAGACAATTTTTTCATGTCATTTTTCAATGTTAATGATAATAAATGTTTTTTATTTCAGAACAACACCTCACCTAAAAAACGTGATCAAAGTCACATAGAACAAAATGGTGATGAAAGTCGACCACGAAAGAGGCCTTGTTTAACCTCCCCAATCAACTGAAAATATTTGATTGCATCACTTCCTTTGTGCTTCAGTTACAGACTTTGTGAACACTTTGGCAGTTTTGTATTAACATTTGTATATCACATTTTTAAGTCTAATTTTATATTGATTATTGAATTAAACTGGTTCTATGTTCTCGCAAAAGTTAGCTAACATTGTGCCATTTAGCAATTGTCAAAAGTTTTTGATTTTTAATAATGATTTTCATGAAAAATATTGTGCATCTTATTTGAAATAAAAATTTATTCATTCCACAAAAAATAAGTGTGCATAATTATTTGTTTGCAAGTCATTTAAGGTTTTTAAATAATTCTTTTATTTGTAAGCTAACAATGTAGCGATACTTAGGGTCTGCATACTACTGGTAATAATGTGTTCAGTATTTTTATGTGCAGGAAATTATGTCAGGTCAGGATATAGAATGAGTGTAATGCTGACTGTAATAGTATTGGCAACATTTATTAGAAAATATCTCATTGTAATACTGGAATCTTTTCTGTATGATGTAATTGTTGAATATTGTACAAATTTTCTAAAAATTCGTTTTTATCAATGGCATAAGGTTTCAACCTAAACTGTAAACATAAATCTATAAAGATTTAGCGCATAAACTAAATAAATACATTGGCTAATTTTAAAGAATAATATTGTTTTACCTCAATATTTTTGTCTCTGTAAAAGAAAGGACCTCACAATTGTGTACATGCCATTGTTAATTTTTTTTTTAATTTCTTAACTGACCTAAAATTTTACTTATGATTGGTTTATAAATGCTATGGATTATAATTGCAACTGAGATGACACATTGAGATTATGAAGCACATAAAACAAAATAAGCAATAGATTTATTATAAGTAAATAGGTAAGTTATTGATAGCAATTGGTAATTTTTGTATCATCTTCATTAGCTCTAGCCTGACCTGTAGTGCTGGTTTCAGGATTTTTGCTATTTCCATAACACAAAGTGACAAATATATTTAATATACAATTTGAGTTTTTTATTTCAATTTTTAGTTAAGAAAAACTAACTTTTTTAATTATTTCTCCTGTAGGTATTAGATAAAATTAAAGTATAATAACTATACTATATTATGATCAAAACTTTGCTAGAGCAAATTTTTACTAAATTAGCTAGGTACCTACATGTAAGGTTCTACCTGACTGCTATTTGCTTTTTATTCCATATTTTAGTATATCTAATACATAGTAAAATTTGTCAGTAATTACTGTCTAAATAAAAAATTACAGAAAACACTGCAAAAATATTTGAGGGAAAAATAGAAAGACAAAACTAGGGTATTTTTTATCACTTTAGTGGCACATTATAATATAGATTTTCTTTAACAAGACATTCAAGTTTTACTTTACATGTTACTTATTAAATCAGATTTTTTAAAATAAAACTACACTTTTAAAATGAAAAATAATTTTATTCTAATCAATTATACTTATTTCACAAGTTGCAGAATCAATCCACAAGCCACGAACAATGTTGGAAAAGGGTATCTAATGGAATAATTTCTCTTATAGTTAATAGTGATATCTTATTTTACACCTAAAACACCAACTCAAGAACAAGATAGCTAGTTTATATTGTTTAAATTCTTTCTAGCCACTTATCCTAAAAAACATTAACACTAAAATGGAGTTAAAATAAAAATATTCCAATTCGAATTTCAAAATTTGTCCAGCTCTGCATCAACATTAATGTGTAATGTTTTTATTGTAAATGTCTCACATTTTTTAATAACCTACTTAATCTTTAGCAGGCACTTCAATGACTCGGGGTTTGTCAATAATTCTTGCTGTACGGTTGCCCTTTTCAACAATTCCAATAATCCAAGCCTGATACCCTTCTTGTTTCTCAATATCTTTACAATATGCAGCAGCTTGTTCACGTGGCAAACAAATTAAAAGCCCTCCGGAAGTTTCAGGTGCATGTCCTTGTAAAAGTTGGAACATATTTCCACAGGCCTTTGCAACAGCTGCCATTTTGGCAATAACTGGTAAATTGTGAATAACAAAAGATACTTCATTTTTCTGGTGTGATGCAAGATTTTGAGCATGGCCTAAAAGTCCAAATCCAGTAACATCAGTGGATCCATGGGCATTATATTTGTGCATAAGACGAGCTGCAATTCTATTAAGTCTACTCATTGAATCCATTGCACGATGATAAGCTTTTCTTACATCTTCCTCAGACACTACTAGTTTAATTCTATTCCAACGTTCTGGTTGGTCAAGCCATTGATGTGCATTAACAGCAACTTGAGTCCCAAGAGGTTTAGTGAGTACTAACACATCTCCCATTACTGCATTATCTGGTACAATGTACTCATTTGGTTGACAAATAGTGGTTGCAACCCCTCCAATTGTGCACCAGGGGTTAATAACCGTCTGGCCACCGGTAACAGACGTACCAGCTTCTAATGCTGAATCTTTAAATCCTCTCATTATAAGGGGTATTACAACGTCTCGTTCCTTCTCAGTCATTTTTGTGGATACTCCAAGCAACATTAACATGTTGTCACATTCAGTCACACCCATTGCATATAAGTCGCTTAGTACATTGGCACACGCAATTTTACCCATCATGTAAGGGTCGTCTACTAAAGGGTAAAAAAAGTCAGTTGTTTGTACCAAACAAAGCCCACCGTGTCTGAGCGGCGTCACTGAACAATCCAAGCCAATGCCGATGCGCGGGATAGCCACATGCATAAATTGATCTTGATCCTGTTGAGAATAATCTTGTTGTAAGGATTCCACAAGTTTGGACAAAACATCTTGTGGTACTTTACAACTTCGTCCTTTTAAATCGGCAAACCTGGTTAAGCGAAAACTAGCTTCCAAGTCGTGAGCCACAGGGTCGAATGGCCGACGTAAAGCCAATGCATTAGGGTTACCGGCCATTTCTAGCTGCGCTGCAGATAGTGTATCTTGCGCTACACTAGATTGATACGACATATTACACAAAAACAAAACAGTATTTTGATCCGCCTTAGGGTAAGTTTGTTCAAAATGCCGAAACCCGACACGCCGCCAAGTGACGCTTGCAAAATGGCGTCTCTTTTACAAAGAGGAAATGAGAGCTAAAAGTTTATTCGAATGAAGAATTCTTATTGGTGTTTACAATATGTAAACAAAAAATCCCTAATTTCTATTGGATACAGGTATTTTGACATTTTAAATGCGCATAGAAAACGTACTTATGGAAAAACTACGTTTTGTTTCGAATATTTTAAATATTGTTATTATTTTGTAAGTCTAAATATAATAAATAATAATAATACACTAAATATATATTGGTCTATTAATTTTTACTACATGTAAAATCTGAAAATTATATTCGTTTAAATATTCATCTTAAGTTTGTTTGATTATCTGTAGACTAGTGTAACCTACGTAGATTTGTGCAATTCTTCTTGATACGTGCAGACTATAGTCCATATTGTTGACCAATCACGTTAAGAATTGAACTTTTTGTATTGGTGATATATTTTGTACAAAACAAGATCTTTCATCTTTATTGGTTATATTTTGCTTTGAAAGCTTAGATTTCCTCTTTTGAATATTTGTATTTTTACGGCGGTTAATTTTTACAGATTAGATTTAGCTTTTTTAAATATTTTTTTTTTACAAAGACATTATAATCTAGTGAGTATTGATTCTTTAAATGTTTATTATGAAATTAATCAAATAATATAAACATGGATAAGTTGAAATGGAATAAAGTGGAAAACGAAGCGGGATATCCGTGTTATACTATGTAAGTTATTGAAACTTTCACTATCCTTTATTTTATATTATAAATTGAAATAATTTATTTTGATTATCAATTTCAGTGAATCAACCGGTGAACAAAGTTATGACCATCCAAAATTTTGCAAAATTTTAAATACTTTGGGTGAATACGACGACATAAGATACAGTGCATATAGAATTGCATTCAAAGTATTTGCATTACAAAGAAGTCTTCAAGGTAAACTACAGAGTAGAATACAGAAATAACTTATCGATAAAACTTAATTTTATTCATTTTTTTAAATTTATATTTATTATTATTAGCCTGGAGGCTTAGGTTTATGTTTTGTACATAATAAAAAAATATTTTCAGTGCCACCTTTACGTATAAGTTCAGGTGTATTTGCTCGACATCAGCTCAGTTTATCTGAAAGCAGCTTATCTCTTGATACAGCAGAACTAGAAGCAGTTTTAGCGGACATATATTTTGCTGCAGAGAAAGAAGGCCTATTCTCTGGCGATGTGGACTTGGCGGTTGACCTTTTAATAAATTTGTTGCTAAATGTGTATGATAAGTAAGTTACACCATATAACAGTTTTGAGTTTAAGTCATAATTACATAATTTATTAAAACATTTTAGTAGGATATCAAAATAATTTTTAAAACAAGTCTAATTATTACAGAGAAAGGAAAAGTCCTATAAGAGTGCTTGCAGCTAAAACTCTCTTAATATTGTTAAGTGAAGAGTCTATATCGGAAAAATGGTTGGCCCTTGCAAATTGCAGTGCCGACCACAATGGATGTGTGTCTCCTAAGAGATTAGCAGCATTATTAGTACATGTAACTGCTTTACCTAAGTACCTTGGATGCCAGTGCGATTACATACAGAGTGATGTAGACTCCTGTTTTGAAAAAGTAAGTTATTGTTTTGATATGAAATTTACTGAACAATAAATAATTTTAATTTACTGTAGAATTATTAAAAATTTCTGTGGGTTTTGGTCAAGTCCAAGACTTGTAACAAAAGGAGGATTGGGTATATTATATGAATTAAAACCCTTAAAGCTGTAAATTAAGAATAAGAAATATAGATATTTTACATAAAAAATAAATAAATGATTTGTATTCTAACATCATTTGATCCATCCAAAGTGACACTTAATTCGATAATTGGAAATGCACTTTAAAAAATATTGACATATACCATTTTCTATTTTCTAGAGTGCAGGTATGCTTGGAATAAGTGCGCAAGCTGTAGCAGAATGGGGTGCACAACAATGTGCGAGTACTCGCTGGCTCACTGTGGTGCAAAGAGTTATATCCAGTAGGAATTGTTCCAGTGCAAGTGCTACTTGTGTGATTTGTTCACAACCACTTATACAGGTTATATAAAGTTTTCTTTTTATTTATATAATAAATGATTCAGTTTGTTCATAATTCTTCTCTTCTTAATTAAAAAAACTTGACCACTTTTGATGCTTTTTTTGCGTACTAAGGAGGTCACCTGGATAGTATCTATAGGTTGACCTGGTATATGGCGCTGTTATCAAGTTTTTTTTGTGCTAATCTGCAATCAGTCATAAAACTACAAGCAGGTTTGTTCCCTATCGTTCTTATCGTGTCCAAGGAGCTCTACAGCAGGAGACACCTTATCCTTCACCATCTGTCACCTGTTATCAAGATGTAGACATTTTCTGAATTTTTCCGACTAAACATGGTCATTGGTAGGCTGTCTGCCTATTGGGCCTCTTGTAATGGTGTTTTATTTATTAAATTACAGGTGCTGAAGTTTAGGTGCTCAAAGTGCAATAACACATTCTTCTGTGAAAAGTGTTATCTATATGACAAAGATTTATCTAATGCACCTGGTCATAAGAAAACTCATTTAGTTCAAGAAATAATTGATGGAGAGGTAATTTAATTGTACATTTTTTCTACTGACAGTCTTAATTATCAATACCCTATTGAGCAAAAGGAACCCATTTGTGAAAGTGTTTTGCTAAATTTTAAATTGCCACTATGAATATTTTAGCTTGGATTCATATTTTTTAACTTAAAAGAAAACCCTTACATAAATATTGGCATATTTAAATGTTTTTAGGTAAAACCAACTGAGTGTCTGAGCTTTATCAATGGTATGAAACGTTTTTTCTTCTGCACAAAAACAAAAAAGAAAAAAACTAACAAAAAGAATCGCAAAAGCAATAAAAATTTAGCAAACCAAGGTTCTATTAAAAGGAAAAATGAGAAACCAGCTATATTCACCTCTACTGTAGGCAAGGCTTGTGGCAATAAAGCAAACCCAGCTGTAACACTGCAAGATGTTATAAATCAGTTGGAAAATGAGAATAAGTAAGTAAAAATTGTTAATAAAAATAGGATAGAATAAGAGGACAAGTAAAAATTGGCCATTATTTTTCATTCCCCGTCTGAATGAGGTATTTTAGGATAGCTTACGTATTCAACAAAGACACTCCGACGGCAGGTCTGCCGAAGCAGACCACAACAACCATGGAGTTGATCCAACGGTCCACTCCAGCAAAAATTGACCTAACTTAATATATTTTTTTAAATTTTTGTGTTCCATAATTATTAATTGTATAATAATGACATTACGGGACGAACGCTAGAATTCGTAAGTGGATAAATATCTTACTCCCGACGCAAAATTTTTAGCTGTTTGATGTTAACTCTGGCTTGTACCAGTTCGCAATATAACCTTTTAAATGTTCGCGTTCTATAATTAATTGTATAATAACTTATGTCATAATTTAACAATTAAATGGCTAGGATAACACTACATAAAATTGGTCTAACTTTATACGTCTTTTATCTTTCTATCTTTTAATTAAAAAAAAACATTACACAGACTTAATAAGGTAATAAATCATTTTATTATTACTTTTCAGAGTTATCAAAGAGTTGACAGAACAAATAGAGGCTGTAGCTAAAAGTGGCAGTGACGAATTAAAAACAAAAGTAGACCAACATTATAAACAATTGTCTACACAAATAAATAGACTAAAAATGTTAAAGGTATGTAAAATAGTTGACGCACATATGTTATCGCTTAGCACACACTAAGTTTGTAATTTTGTATTATAACTGCTAAATTTTCCAAATTCGTATAAATACATACATATATACTTATTTATATTATTCAACTCGTTTTTCCAATAAGTTTTGATTACTTATATAATAATTAATAATTAACTTTTAATTTTTTATAAAAATATATCTAATATGCTTTTTATATCAACCAGCAATGAATAGTTCTTATAAATCCTTACTTATATTTCTTTACATACAAAAACTTAAGATACACAAATTATTACTGTCTCAAAAGTGTCACAGTGCACAATTTGAAATTGAATTGCGCTTTTTTAAATCTCTTGTTTATTGCTTTTCAAGTGACAAAATTAAAACGCACGTTGTTTCGTTTAAAAAAGTACTTTAAGTCGTGTGCGTAAAATCGGATTTTGTGTTTAGATAATTAGAACTTTCGATTTTTGAATTTGATTCTTTATTTTAACTTAACATGATGATAATACTTTTTTTATAGAGAGTAGTTTTATCGCAGTGGAGTTATCTTTAATAAAGTCCCTTTTTAAATAAGCATAGTTTTATTTATTTCAATTTACAATTTATTAACACAACCTGACACATTTATTTTTAACGACATCTATCAAAATTATATTCTTATATTTAAATTTTATTGCCAGACAGTATTCTCTATGACACTCCCCCTCACGAAGATCTTGGGGTGTCACCTCAGGTCTGAGTGACCCTTATCATCTTCAGCAGTTTTATTAACCTTGGCTGGGTTAAGGCCTTTGTTAAAAGATCTGCCTCCATATTGTCTGTGTCCTTATAATGGATTGTTATTAGTTTCTTTTGGACACAGTCTCTTATAAAGTGTTCCCTTATGCTTATATGCTTTGATCTTTTTCCAGTCATTAAATTGTTGGCTAACTTCTGTGCAGCTAAATTATCGTTGTAGATTGGTACAGCTTGTGTAGTCACTCCAATATCTTCCAAAAGCTGTTTTAAGTGTAGCGCTTCCTTTGCGGCTTCAGTCATTGCCATATATTCTGCCTCAGCAGTTGACAAAGCTACAACTCGTTGCTTCTTTGTAGCATAACTTATTAGACCACCTCCATACTTGAATATGTAACCCGTATATGAACGACGGTCAATAGTACATGCTGCCCAATCAGCATCAGCCATTCCTACTAATGCACTTCCTGTTTTACTGTATCTGATGCTAACATTCTTCGTGCCTTTTAAATAACGCAAAACCCTTTTTGCTGCTTGCCAATGCGTTTTTCCAAAACAAGTATTATATTGGCTCAAATAACTTACTGTAAACATAATATCTGGTCTCGTAGCTATAGCCAGATACATCAAAGAACCAATCAATGCCTGGTATGGTATGTTCTCCATTTCTTCTTCTTTTTGTGCTCTTTCCAATTTTAAACCTGTTTCCATCGGCGTTGAAACCGGCTTACATTCGCCCATGTTAAATTTTTCTATTAAGTTTTCAATATAACTTGTCTGTGACAACCTCATTTCTCCCCCTACATGGGTGAATTGTATGCCAAGGCAATGATGTAGCGAACCCATATCTCTTAATTGAAAAGCTTTTTGTAATTTCATTTTGACCTCTTTTAACAAATTTTCTGATTTATATGCCAGTATTAAATCATCCACATAAATGTTTGCTAATAGCTTTTCACCTTCTTTTTCTAAAATATATAAGCAAGGATCTGCTGTAGAGTTCTTAAATCCGATTTCCATCAATTTATTATGTAACTTCAAGAACCATTGTCGTCCTGCTTGTTTCAACCCATAAATGGCTTTATTTAATTTACATATCCCATTATTTTTATATCTATTTATATCTAATAGCATTTCTTTTGTTTTTCTTATTAATTCTTTATCTTTTCCATTTGCTATTATCATTTTTAAGTATTTATCCAAATTTTTCGGCATCTTCATGTAAATTTGTTCGTCTATATCGCCGTTTAAAAATGCAGTACACACATCTAGTTGGGATAACTTCATGTCATTTTCAATCGCATGTGCAATGAGTAGCCTAATAGTACTCATTTTTGCAACAGGTGCAAATGTTTCTGTGTAATCAAATCCACGCGCTACAAGTCGTGCCTTTCGTCTATCTATTTCTCCTAGTGCATTATATTTATATTTCAAAATCATTTTATTATCTATTAAATTTTTGCTTTCGTTCTTGTGTACAACTGTCCAAGTATTGTTTTTAAGATGAGATTCTATCTCGTTTATTATTGCATCTTCCCATTCATCACTGTTTTCATCTATTTCACAGAGGAATGATTGCTCAGCATCCATCTCATAATCTTGATGCCATGCTGGTGGTTTTCTCTGTCTTTTTATACTATTAGTCGTTGCTTCGACTTCATTATCTGTACACATGTCATTATTTATTTCGTCTATTTCTGTAGTTGCATCTAGGAATAATTCATCATTGTTAAAATCATGTTCTGACCCATTTCCTTCATTTTCTATTAATTTATCATTGTTTTCTTCATTATGTTCTTCTGGAAAAAATATAACTTCTATTTCCTTTTTATCAATTTCTTTTTGATTTTCTTCTTCTTTCATCTCGTTCTCATAAAACATTTTATCTAATACTTTAACATCTCTGCTGATTATCACCTTGTCTGTTTTCGGGTTGAATATCCGGTACGCCTTATGATTTTCGGAATATCCGATGAAAATTCCAGCTGTTGCTCTGGCTTTAAATTTTCCATATTTCTTTCCTTTATTTAATACGAATGCTTTAGCCCCAAATATGTGAAAATGCCTCACAGATGGTACTTTCTTTACCCATTTTTCAAACGGAGTCGCATTATCAATGCTGCTGCAAGGACTTCGATTCGCCAAGTAGTTAGCTGTACTAATTGCTTCAGCCCAAAAATCTTCTTTCATATTAGCGTCTATCAGCATGCATCTAGCTTTATCAAGCAATGTTCTATTTTTTCTTTCTGCTAATCCATTTTGTTCTGGCGTATATGGTGCGGAAAGTCTCCTCTTGATACCTTTGTCTTTTAAGTAATTATCAAATCTTTTGTTAATATACTCTGTCCCATTATCACTTTGTAAATATATTATTTTATTTTTTGTAAATCGTTCAGCCTCGTTTTTAAATTCTATAAATTTTGATAGGGCTTCATCTTTAGTTTTCATTGTATATACTCGTGTATATCTCGAATTATCATCTGTGAATGTGATGAAATATTTTGAACCTCCCTTAGATGGCTGTCTCATGGGACCACATATATCAGTATGTACAATTTCTAATCTATGATTTGTCCGTTGCTCATTTTTACATGTATTAAACGGTAGTTTCTTTGCCTTACCTTTAGCACAGACTACACAATCTCTAACTGTATCAGATTTATTAAATTCTAAGCCTTCCATACTTTTTTTATCAAGAGCTATTCTCATTTGCCTCTCATTAAGGTGTGCTAGTTTTCTATGCCATAGTTGCATTTTATTTGTTTCACAATAGTTGGATTTCTCTTCTAAATTTTCTTTAACGTAGTATAAACCATCTTCATTTCTTTCTGCTTTTAACAGAATTTGACCATTTCGCATTACGCTTGCTTGTTGCTTCTTAAATAAAACTGTTGCACCTTTATCTGTCATTTTTCCTACTGACATAAGATTTGTAGTCAGCGACGGTACATACAAGGCTTCATCTAGTTGTAGACCAGGTATTTCCTTTATGTTCAGTTTCACTGAACCTCGACCTTCAATTTGTGCTGTACAGTTCTCTGAAGCTAACCTTATAGTTTTATAGTCTTCTTTTTCTACATTATGGAATCTTTCCAATTCATGAGTCATATGTGACGTGCATCCACTATCAAGACACCATTTTCTGGCTTTTTCTTTATTATTATTAGCATTTAGACATGTTTTCTATGGAATAATTCGCACTGCTTTTAGTTTTGTTCACTTTTGACCAGCATTCATTCGCTTTATGCCCCTTTTTATGACATTTGTAGCATTCAGTAATATATTTCTTATTTTTTCTTTGCTGCTTGCTGTACAGTACCTCTTGTTCTGAGTTCCCATCAGTTGGAGTAGCCATATTTTTTCGTGCTTCAGCTTCCTCAATGATTTTTATTTTCAGGCTATCTGGATTTGGTAAATCATCTCTAGATTCTATGGCTATGCGAAAATTTTCAAAAGATTGTGGTAAACTATATAGCAGCATTATACTTAATAAATCTTTATTAATTATTATATCCATGTCGGCTAGTTTATCGACAATATCCATAAATTTGTTTAAATGATCAACTATGCTGTCATTGTCTTTCATTTTTCTTAATATCAATTCTTTTAACAGGGTTGCTTTTTTAGCGGGACCTTTACTATTATATATATTTTCAAGCGTATCCCAGACTTCTTTACTTGTTTGACAATTTTTTACTTGTTTTAGTTCGCTTGGAGATATAATAAGAAATAATTCAGCTAATGCTAACCCATCTTTTTCTATATATTTGCTCAGTTCGTCGCCTTCGCTTATTGGCTTCTTAATTTTATTAGAAACATAGTTCCAAAGACCAAGTTTCAACAACAGAGCTTTTGCATGAATTCTCCATGTATCGTAATTTTCTCTTTTTAATGGCTCTATGTGCACATGATGGCTCATCTTTCTCTTTTTCGTATATACGATTTCTCGCGTTTACGCACGGCCCATAACCTTTTATAGAGAGTAGTTTTATCGCAGTGGAGTTATCTTTAATAAAGTCCCTTTTTAAATAAGCATAGTTTTATTTATTTCAATTTACAATTTATTAACACAACCTGACACATTTATTTTTAACGACATCTATCAAAATTATATTCTTATATTTAAATTTTATTGCCAGACAGTATTCTCTATGACAACTTTCTTAGATTTACGCGAATATTTGACATTTCAAATAAAACTATCTTTTCGGATTATTTGGCAGAGTCATTTTGATTTTTGGTTCCCGACGTTTCGAATGCTTTACAGCAATCATGGTTACGGGAGAGACAGTGTCATAACATGACGAGTCGACGTCACTTTTTGAAAAGATATTTGTTAGGAAATGTGTATCATGTTTTATATATGAATGCTTATATTATAAATATTTATAGGATAACTTACTCAACCCACAAAATCTACAAGTTGATCCAAATACAAATGCAAATGACAGACCTCAAGCATTCGATCTCTTCAGTCCCATACCAATAGTTGATGAGAAACAATCAAAAATTACTGAAAATGTTAACCAGCCAAGGGTTTTAAGTATGGATTCTGGAAACTTTTCTGTAGCCTCAAAACCGGAGAGTCAGAATTTACTAACAATGTCTGGTGACGCATTGAAACCTGTAGTGGTTCATGCCACTTCTGACAGTATATCTTCTGTGTCCATGAATGATATGAGTAATTGGTATAATGGTATGTATTAGATAGTTAATCTTGTAAATTTTAATCAAAAAATGCCATTTTTTACACAATAAATTGCCTATTTACCTATTCTTATTATTCCACATAATACTTTATGCAAAGGGTCTAGCCGTACTTCTATAGCGAAACTGCCCCCGATAGGAACCTATATCGTAACCAATGTTTTATTGTAGAGGACACTAATAGTAATTGATCCAGTAGATATTAGCTCTATATCTTAGTTAATAGAGGAGCTATTTGAAAAAAAGTGTCTGGGGGCGAATTTTTTTCAAAGCGATATATCTTAGTTAATTTCAAAGCTAGCAAAATAAAACTAAATGTAAGTGTTATAAAACGCTTTATAGTTTATTTTATAGCTGTCTCCTATGGGCCAAGCCTAAATAAAAGTATTAAAAAAAAGCAAATACAAATTTTGTCAATCGATTTCTATCATATATAATAAAATTACCACTTTGAAAAAAATACATAATAATTGTCTATATATTGTTTAACAGCATGCTAAGTTTCATTAAAATCCAAGAGGTGCAACATGTGGAAAAAAAATCAAAATTAAGTGACCAGGCACGTTACGACCACCTGGTTGACACTTATTATCTTGCATAACATTTTTAGTTTTTCAATATTGGGCACGGAAGGTTTTTGGAAGGTGACACGGACGTTCTTCAAATTATATTGATATATGATATGATTGAACCATATTTTTTTTTTTTAAATAAAAGTAGCCCATGTTACTCCCTGTAACATCAGCTATCTTCCAGTAAAAAACCCGTTCAGTTCAGCCGTTTCAGAGATTAGCTGGAATAAACAGACAGACAAAAATTTAAAAAAATGTGTTTTTCTTATAAGTACCGTATATAATTCCTTAAGCATTTACTAAAACGCTGTTATTTTGACATTACAAACAGACACTTTAATTTTATTTATCTGTATAGATGTATGGTTTCAAAAGTGCTTATTTCATTTCAACCAATTCCAGAAACAGAAACAACCAGAGCACAAACAACCATAACCACACAGAGTCTCAGTGCAACCGAGCAGCGCTACGCGGCGGACCTGCACAGCGTGGCGGCCAGCAACCACAAGATGCGTGCCCTCAACGCCGACCTCGACACCGTGCTCGACCGCCTTCAGCAAATACTAACACATAACTTTGCTATGGACGGTCTGTATATTATAGTTATACCGTTATATTATATTATTTATAATATGTATTTATTTAAAGTTATATACGTGTAGTGTATCAAATATCTGGTATTCATAACACAAGCCTTGTAGCTTACCATGGAACAAGATGGTGCTGTGTGTTAATGTAATCTTAAAATAAGTACCAATAACGCGTGTAATGAATGTGTATGTATGTATGTATTCAGGCCTTTTTAACCATATTATACATGAATGTGCAGGCGGCAGTGGTAGCTCAGAGGTAACGCGGTCGATTGGGAAACCGAATTAAGCGGGTTCAAATCCCGGGTCTCGCACCTCTGATATTTTCATATGCCAATCATTTGCAACATAATTACAATTTGTCTTGCGGTGAAAAAAAATATTGTGAGGAAATCTGCATGTCTGAGAGAACCTAGCAAGTTTTCAAGAGACATATGAGGTCAAATAGCTGCACGCCTATGAATTTATTTATTTTACAATTTATATATGCAAGTCTGTAAACGAAATTATAAGTCTTGTTTTCTTTTAAATAAATAATGACTTATGGTGATTTTTTTATGATCGCTTTTTAAAACCAACATTGAGTTCAAGTTAAAAAAAATCTTTTAATCTATAGTTTATACCACGCCAAAAATTATCTTTGCAAGAATCAAACCCATCGTATTCAGTTACATAATTTCTTTGAAAATAAATTATCTATTATGTTGTTTTAATATTTCTTTTACAGATTCCTGTTTCGATAACACTCAACTACGTGAAACAGCTAATGAAATGGAGGGATTGTTAGGAACGTTAATAAGAGGCGTAGAACAACGTGCTACGTTAAATGCTTCTAAGGGACTCGTCTAGACTATAGATATGTATTTATATAATACTAGCGACTCATCCTTGCTTTGCATGGGTTTGTCCCTCGGTATGTTTTGACGTTTAGTATGGAATAGATAACCTATATGTACATAAGTATGATGAGTTAATGTGGGTTGTATTATATGTTTTTCCGTGGGAATGAGATAATTTCCCGCGGTAAAAAGTAGCCTATGTCACTCTCCAGGCCTCCAACTATCTCCACACCAAAAATCACGCCAATCCGTCACTGTTTTTGACGTGAAAGAAGGACAAACAAACTTAAATATTAGTATGGATATAATATGTATTAATTCTGAATCTTACTGTGAAATAGTCTTTGTAAAGTATAGATAACGCTAGATATTCTTACTATAGAATTATGGTGGACAGTCGCTAGCGTATGCGTAAATAATTTGTATGACAATTTTAAATTTGTTTAATTTAATTGAATGATATTATGTATATAAATGTAGTGACTGAATTATTTCATTTTTTTTTATATGTTTTAATTTCGCTGGTAACGAATTTTGTTTTGATTCGACTTATGGACTTATGGATTAATGGATAAAAAAATGAGTGTGTGTAACCTTTACGCGCGGTTGAAGTAAAACTTCTTTGGTGCTGTGGCAGATACCGCAATTAAATCAAAACAAATTAAGGTATAAATATAATATTTTTTTATAAAATTATAATTAGTAATATTTTTTTTTGTATAAGTGATATAATTATTATTAAAAATATAAATTATAATATTTAAAAAAAAATAATAACAATAAATTTCACACTCACTTCTGAAGTCACGCATAAAGAAGTTTTACTTAAAAAAAAAAACAATTTAAATATTGCCATTATATATTAATTCTTATTTGAAGTATGAATTTATTTAAATTAAATTTGGCAAATAGTATACTCATTATTCATGTCTTATAGTTTTTAGAATGAATTATATGTAAGCTCTCCGTCCCACTCGACTAGGTGCTCAACTAATGTAAGGTAATTTATTGGATCTGATTAATACAAATATATAGAAAAATAACATGCCATATATTTTGTGAAAAATTTACATACTGTCGTGTACATTATTATTAATAAAATATATAATATAAATTACGTATATCATAATATATGTTAAAATTGTTTTATTATAATACTTAATTAATTTTATGTTAAGCGTAAGAGTGATCTGTTTGAGAGTTGAATTGGTCCTTTTTACTGGACCTTTGCAATTATTTATTTTTTTCAATATTGACATGACATAAAGATGTGCTAAAACAGATAATGCACTACAATAGGCAATAAAAGTATATTTTTTAAATTGACACTTCTAAAATTTCTTTATTTATGTTAGTTAATGTAAGAAGAGAGCATCTATTTTTTTTCTTCATTCAGATATTGCGATTTACCTACTTTGGTATATCACGTATCTACCATCGATCAAAAAAGTACAAGATACAAAATCAGAGACAAAAAATGTCCTCACAGGATGAGCGCTCGTTTAAACATTTGGGCGCGTTTTTAATTATTTTTTTGTAAAACAACTTTAATGCCCGATTTCACCAACAACCCATAAGCTACTACCTACGTATGAGATCCCTAGCTTAAAAGCCCCTAAATTAAATTTCATTTTACGATCGTCTTGAAGCCCATATTTCGAGCACCTAAATTTAGGGGGCCTTTTAATATTTAGGTGACCCCTAACTCGGTGAAACAGAAACTGTCCCCTAAGAGCCCCCTAACCATGCTTAGGGGATCCCTTAAACTTAGGTGACATTGGTGAAATCGGGCATAAGACTTGCATTTAAGGTTCAATTTACATTGTGTATATTTATTTCAACTATATTAATTGCCTAAATACAATCGGTGACAGTTTTAAGGGAACTTTTGCATGGGATTGTGTATCTAGTACTTTTTTGATCGATGCATATCTATGATGCATATAATAGAAATATCACATACATATATGATTTTTTTTCTGAAAACTAAGTGAAATATCAAAAGATAACCAATAGAATCTACTTTTATAAAGGAGTTTTTATAGTGATAAATTATACTTGTCATGATCGAAGACTTTATAGTAAATAAATAATTCCTTGATGTTATTTAAAGTCCATATAAATGGCTTTGCTGGAGGAAATCCATCAAACCCACTAGTTCTGCATTATTTCATTTTGGTACAAAAGTGTTAGTTCTTCCTTATTTCTATAAAATAATTAGCAAAGTGGTCTGTCTCATTTATAACATTTATCCTGTTCTACAATTTTCTTTTCTTTACATTTTCATTATATCAAATATAACCTATAACATATATGGTTACTGCACATTGTAGATTTTTTTATTCACTTAACTTCGGCTTTTACTTGCACCATTAAAAGTACTTAAATCGTCAATAATGTACATAAGGCAGTTTTAAATTTTTTAAAAACTGATTGAAAAAAGCTACAATGTACGATTACTATATAGAGCAATGTATTTATCCTTATTAAGTTAATATCTACTGAAAATATTTCGAATAAAATTACAAGTCTTAAAACTACGAAACGCAATTCGATTGCATAAGCACAACCTAGAGTACTTAATAATAACATTATAATATTAATATCATTTACAAAAAGATCTGTATAATATGTAAATTGTATTAATTATAAATGATACATACACAAACGGACGGCTTTTATTTTACTATTACTATCTACATTTGGATATAGTTCTCGTTAAAATATACTTAAATCTACTTCGCAACAGCGACTAGCTTGAAAAAGCCAAATATAAAATTTTATAACATTTTTTATATTTTAATTTAAAGACACTTAGAAAATATTATTTCAAAATTATAGATTCTAATAAAAAGATATTGGCGTCATTTTTGTTACCATATTACATTTGATAAAACAGATACAAAAAATACAATAATTGTTATCTTAATTTTTTTTTAAATTTGCAATTGCAATGAATGTCAATTATATTTTGTATAGAAAAGTTGTATTATTAACACAGTTTAAAAATGAATATAGTAAGTGAACGCTTTTGATCATTACGGAAATCTCGCTCAAGCCATGGGTTTTCAAAAATTACCCATTTTTATGGCGAACGGGTTAAGTCTCGTAGGTAGTATAGTTGAGGTCGTCAGCGCAAAAGTAAACTAACCCGCTGACAGCTCCTTTGGTGAAAATGGCTGTTAAATGTTTACATATATTTTGAATCTTATTTATAGTTTTTCATTTAGCGCTAACTTGAGTTTTGCGTTTATAGTTTATTTTCTTTTGAACTAAATTTCTTATAGACATCTAATAGTACTAATACTAGTTTTCAAAAGAAATATAGGTTAGGCCATTTTTGTATTTTAAATATTTTTAAAATTTTTGGAATACATTATACAAACCGTATGTAAATTTTCTTCCGCTGTTAATGATTTTTTGCGGCATTTTTATTTAAAATAAAACTGCACCCAGGTCTTTGGTAAATTAAATTTTACCATATTTAGAATACTTTGTAGTATTTAAGTGGAAAAAAAAGTTGGTTAGGCTGTTCTTGCACTGACTGCCTGAGTTATAACCGTCAGTCCTGGAACCGTTTCTTTTCACCCATTGTCCGTTAATTGAATTCAATTCTTTGTTCCGTACACACAGGCGTGCCATTTGGGCACAATTTACTTCGCCAATGTATATAATGGAGAAGACATGGTAGATATTAAGTATTGATCCGTTTAGAGAAAGAGATATTCATACTGAGGACTCATAACATCTATACTAATATTATAAAGAGGATAGATGTGATTTTTTGTTTGTTTGTTTGTTTGTATTGAATAGGCTTTGAAACTACTGAACTGATTTAGATGAAATTTGGTAAGAAGATAGTTTGAGAGACAAGGGACATAGGATAGTTTTTATCACGGAAATCATCCCTTAAGGGGGTAAAAATGGGGATGAAAATTTGTATGGGGAATCAACCACTAGTTTCATATATAGAGAAATTGTATCATCTGCCTATTGTCATATAAAAGTGTGTATGACATTTTTATATAAAAGTCTCTGGTGCACAATTTGCGTTTTACTCCGTTTTCAATGCGACTGTCCTCTAAACGTTTTTGTTAAACAACTATATGGATTAGTAGACCGTGATTTTTAAAAAATGTGACAGTAATGGAATATCAATTCCTTTTGCTACTGTTTATGAGATATTTGCAGCAGTGTGTGAGGAGATGTTTCTCTTTCTCTGTGGATCCGTTTTGATGTATGGCCGTGGGTCCGCCGCGCTCTCGAGTGTATATGTCTAATCCGTATTGCCCTGAAAATCACATCGATATCATTAATGCCAAAGTTTTTTAGTAAATGAGTGTAAGTGTGTGTGTTTGTTACTTATTTACTTTGTAAATGCTAAGCAGATTTGAGTGAAATTTGGAATGGTAGATAGCTTATCCTGTACCCAAAATATAGGTAATTTGTTGCTATATCTATGTGTTGCTATATCTATTTGTATTTTTGACATAAGCTGAATAACAAAGAACCTATATAAATCGTGGGACTCGAATTTGTACCTTTTGATAGTTTTAGTAAGTAGGCAAAATACTACATAGTACATCAGAAAGTCGTTTACGGTTTAGTGATTTTTGTTTATGGATTATATTTATATAATACAAAATCCGTTTCGTCCAGTAAGCGAAGGGCGGTCTTACTCAAGATCTTAGACTACATGATGACACGTTTGGCTCAGTTTGTAGTCGCGGGTTCGAGACTCGCTGGGGGCATTCATTTGTGTGATGAGCACAAATGTTTGTACTCCAGTCATGGGTGTTTATATTTATATATCTATGTATTTTAAGTTATATATGTGTAGTGTATCAACTATCTGGTATCCATAACACAAGCCTCGTAGCTTACCATGGAACTAGATGGTATTGTGTTAATGTCCCAACATATTCATTTATTTATACAATTAAATACATAAAAATTAAAATAATTTTATTAATTATTTCCGAAATTTTACCTTCCTCCGGGAATGTAATATAGAACGTAACAATATCGTCGGACACGTTTTGCTGCACATATTTAGAGAGGCGTTTCTCGTCGACACCGTTCTTGTGTAGCGTCGCCATGAAGTCTGCGAGTGGGCGCGACATGCGGAACTGAATCTCTAGCTCACGACCCGCGAATACCAGGGCTTCCTGTGAATTTCATAAATATTTAATTAATATAGGTAATACATATAATAATCTATAATCAACATAATAATCTACACAGCCAATATATGTATCTATGTATGTATATCTTAAGCTTTAGATTAGAAGCACAATAAATATTATTAAATATTTTTGCATAAGAATTTAAACTTTTAATAATGAAGATTCTAAGAAAGTATTTTGGAAACTTCCTTTCCTTATGAACGTGTCAAATTCTATGGAAGTTTGTTATTTTAAAGATAGAAACAGAGAAGTTGCCGGTAAAAAATCATATCGTGCAAACGATGGTAAAAATAACGACAATCCTATTCACACAATAATATAATTATAATTTATAAACTCAAAAAAACAAGCATCGATAGCATTAATCTGAAATTCACATAAAAAAAACTTACATTGGTATGACAATTAGAAGTAGGTTAAAAATTAGTAAATATGCATTATAGCAGTATAGCAGTAGTTCATCTGAATATCCAAGTGAAGTGGGTTCAAATCCGGGTTTCGCACGTACAAAATTTCTATGTGGAAGTAAAGTAAATTTGACGCCACGTTTGGCTCAGTTTGTAGTGACCCTACTCGGTAGCGGTCGCGGGTTCAGTCCCGCTAGGGGCATTTATTTGTGTGATGAGCACGAATGTTTGTACTCCAGTCATGGGTGTTTATATTTATAATATGTATGTATTTAAAGTTATATATGTGTAGTGTATTCACTATCTGGTATCCATAGCACAAGCCTAGTAGCTTACCATGGAACTAGATGGTGCCGTGTGTTAATGTCCCAACATAAAAAAACGTATGAAGTCCGCCAACCTGCACTTGGCCAGTGTGGATTATGACCATATCCCTCGCATTAAAGGGCGAGTGCCCAGCAGTGGGACGTTAAAAGGGATGAATTACTTTTATTAAGTAAGTAAAAACGTGTTAACTAAAGTTGTTTTTTACTTGGTGCGTGATAGGCACGAGTCCAAACAGCCGCGTCGCCTTGGTGGGCCCCCACTCGCCGCTCGCGCAGTCCGGCAGCGGCACCATTACCGTCTGTAGCTCTGCGCAGCAGATCTGTAATAATAATATAAAATATAAAGATAATAATAGACAGATATAATTTTTTGGATATTTCCACGGATTTATTTTGATTTTTGGTTCCTGATGTTTTGAATGCTTTATAGCAATCATGGCACGGGAGACTAAGATTTTAGACGTCTCAAACGTTATTACATATTTGTTACAGACAGTGCCTGATTAAAAATTCTTCAAATTTCTCTATTATTAGGGGTGTAACATTTTATTGAAATTCATTTTATCAATATTTTGGCGAAGAGACATACTTAAACCCTCCTTTTTCAGAGTCGGCCAAAACTGATTGGCATTCAATACGATTTCATTTGTAGGTATTCTAATCACAATAATGCTAACGAGCATAGTTAAGTTTAGTTAAATATCTTTCATCTGTTGACAAGCGTCTATAAACGGGTTAAAAATGATGTAATATAATACGGTAGGTACATTTGTTTTGTATATATATAATTAAGTATATTTGTAATTTCCTGTTATCTTCCTTAGTAAGAAAAAAATACACAGCAAAATTACACAACATTGTAAGTCTTAAAATTGTAATGTGATTTTTTTAAATCGGCGTATTCTATTTGACATTGGCGAAGTTATCTGTACTCAACCGGGCACGCTTTGAAGCCATTTAACTAGATAATTGAATTTAAACTATCGTATGTGAATATAAGTAAACATCAAGAAGCTGACCTTAAACTTGCAAACACTCTTGAACTTCATGGGCTCGCCGGTGAGGTACTCGCGCGGCGTCACCGCGTTGGCGAAGATGTCGAGTAGGAAGGCGCCGCTGCAGGGCGCGTGCACGCGGAACGACACCACGTTGCCCACCACCGACTGCGGGTGGAGGGGTGGAGTTTCATTGTTTTATTTTATTTATTAAGAACTCCAACGTTAGTACACAAAAAACTTACACTAATACATCAACAATACTTACCTATATACACTCACAATTATAGGAGAACACAACATGCTTCATATTTTATAAAAATATCTTAAAACTTTACATTATATTAAAGAGTTTACTTAATTTTTTTAATAACAATAATAATAAAAAAGAACCTTAAGGATAGAATACACAATTTACTACAATATTCTATCGTACAATTCTCACATTTTTTGTACGATTTCACGTATTTTTTTTGTTTTGCTTACTTTGCGCGATAGCTTTTCGAGACGATGCGTCGCTACATTTTTTACGTGAGAATTTTAAGACACTGAGCCGAAGGTGGCCAGTTAGAATCGTCAAAATTATATGTAACTTTAGCAATTAAAGTACATAAAACTTATAAGTATTTTAACTTGTGCACTCCAATAACAACTATATTGTACTGTTCTAACTGGTACGGCACAATTATTATACGAAATTAGCGAAAATATACTCGCGAATAAATCAATAAGTTATCAATTTTTATTTACTGTATTTTTGTATTGCAATTAATTGTCAATTGTACACATTATTTCTTATTTTGCTCGCATTATTCTATGTATTATTAAATTGTAGAAACTTTTATGGTCTTGACTGAGCATGTAAATCGGTCAGTAGAACATTATTATAACTATGATTAGAATGTACGTTTTGTAAGACTCACCTGCATAACAAATCTCTTAAGACTGACGCCGTCAAAGCCGTCGCCCTCCGTGTCGTAGAACTTGAGGTTGTAGTGGAAGATGAGGGAACTCTGCATGTGCGCGGGCATTGCTATACGCATCGTCGCTGCACCTGTTCACAGTATATTTTTATATCCTAGTAGAATGAATTTCGAAAAATTCTAAAACACGTATTTATTTAATTTTATTGAAGAGCATTAATACCAAGTTTTAAGTAGGTAGGTACTTCTGATCATAAATATTTTTTTGGATTGTATTATAACGTGTTTTCCCCTGGGAATTGGATAATCTCCCGCGGTATAAAGTAGCCTATGTCACTCCCCACCCCTCCCACTAACTTCATACAAAAAAGCACGCCAATCCGTCTCTCCATTTCGACGTGAAAGAAGGACAAACAAACAAACACACTTTGACATTTATAATATTAGTATGGATATGGATATAAAAAAAGTCGCTTCTTTCATTAAATTTAGAGATCTTTAAAATCTGAAAAAATGTATAAAAGCTTACTTACCAGTAGAATCAGTGAACATAACAGCTTTAGTATTCGGGTCACTGAAGTACAGTCCGTATCTAAAGAACAGTGATCTAACAAAAGGCAGTTCTTCAAAGTCGTGGAGGGTGATAGGCGTTTTCAACAACTGCCAGTCAGGCTGTAGTGGGTAGAACTCGTATATGAACTCGCGTGGGTCTGTTAGGAAGTAGTGGTCGTCATATTCGTATCTGGAAGGTGGGAAAAAATTCTTTGATTTAATCTAGTGGAATTTGGTTGCTTGAGGAGTTACAGTTTATGCAAGAAAAGTTAAGATGGTGAAATATTATGTTATAAATGAAATGAGTTACAAAAGAAGCTAGAAGATCTCAATGTAGCAAAAATGTGGAGGGTGGATTACTATCCATCATTTGAAATCGAATCAATCAAAATCTAAATAATATTTATAAAAAAAAACATACAGAAACTTAGAACGTCCTCCTTTTTGGTAGTCGGTTAAATAGACAAGCACTTTTGAATCATCATATTTTGCATTGCCAACTAATATTTACTCCTTTGCAAGAAACATGTTGACAATTAGGAAAGTTTTAGCTGACAATAGGCGAAGAGGAAATAATAGAACGTTGGCGTCTCGTGCTGATATAAAAATAGCATTTTAACTAATTTACAATATTTGTATTAAAACTACACCACTATATATTTTAGAACACAAAACATCAGTTTGAAATACATTTTGAGATTTCAAGATTTTTATCTACCAAATATGAGAGAATGGAGAATAAACACAATTGGACATTCTCCACCAGACGTTATCAATAGATTGGAATGATAACAATAAACAAACCTTAAGCTATCGCTCTTGCCACGCACGCCGGGCTTGGGCGCGTCCTTCGCGTTGACGAGATGCCGCGCGCCCCAGTTGCACTGCACGAAGCGCCACGCGCCCGCCACGAACACCGCGTTCCACGAGTTGCGGAAGCGATTGTCCTCGAAGCGCACGCCCGGCTGGTAGCCCGCCGACTTGCTGTAGCCTTTGATCACTACGCAGTGTAGGCCGGCGTAGCTGTGGGCAAAGTGTTTTATTTATCAGATTACTAATATTTATGAGGAATTTTGTATGTATGTATTTGTGTGTTTGTTACTTATGCACGCAGTAATAGCTGGATAGATTTGGATAAAAATCCGTATGTAGAATAGGGAATATTACGTGTGATATCGATGAAATATTTTTAGTTTTTTAGAGTTGGTTTTTTTACAATTTTAAAACTATGTAAACTATTGTATAAAAAATCATGCATAATATTCCCTTTTATTATTAGAATATGACCTAGACCAGCACATAATACGTAGCCGATAGCAGTATAATATAGGTAGCAAACCAATAAAACATAGGATTTTTTTATCCTTATAATTTTTTATCCTCCAATGTCAGCTCTAGCCTCTAGCGATATACAACTTTATTAATAGCCTCTCATAACTATATAATAAGTGTAAATATATCAATACCTGCACAGTCTCTTAAACAGGACATGGTAACTCTCTGTTCCGTGTTTGATCCCTCTCAACAAGCCTAAAGGCGAATCTCCTCTTAGATTATCATCAAATTGTATATTATTAAGGTTTTTGACAGTGATCCATCGGAATATGGTACGCGCCTTTTCGACGTCACTTACGCATCTCCCTACTAACTGCCTGACGAGGTCGGTAAATGTCTTTTGGTCTTCTTGTGCTACCTGTTTGAAGAGAAATAATATAAAAAATAATTCAGCTGTTTTAATGTCACAGTTTTGAGCATAGGCCTCTAGACTCCACTCAATAGAGACTAAGCGGGTTGGGGGAAGTTTACACATTTTTCGAAAATCAGAATCTCTCAAAAGTGCGGGATTTCCTTTTGCGGATTTTCGTTCGTATTAGCAAGTGGTAATCATGTTAAAAATTATTCTTAAAAGAGAATTACAGATATACTAATCCCGGGCTCGAACTGGTTCACTTAGCTTTCATAACGAGCACGTTACCACTAAGCTGCTAAAAATTATTAATTTGAATTTACTTAATTTATTTAAATATACAATTAAGTGATTATATTATAAATTAAAACATCATTTGCCTCATTCATTTTCTGATAAAGAATTCCAATTTTTTTTCTTCTTTTACCTATAAATTAGGTTTTACAACTTTAATTAATAGGTAAAAGTTAATTTTAATACTACAACTTAAGGTTAATTTACAACTTACCGAAATTGCAATTTTGTCAACATCAGCAAATTCTGCGGGATCTGTATATATGTGGAACTTAGATACTAGGGGTGGTTGCGGAGCGGGAGCACGCGCGGGGTATGGGGGAGCTTCCTCCCCATCGAGGTATATGGATGATGCTGCCATGTATTCAGACCTTCTCTCTTGAATCAGTTCCATCATCTCATGACTTTGTTTCTCCACTAATGCTGCTGTAGCTGCTCTGTAAATATAACAGTTAACCCTTACTAATGCCATAAAAATGAGGTGTGTTGATTTGCCCTTTTTGACCGACTTCAAAAAGAAGGTATTTAATTTAGCTGTATTTTTTGTATCTATGTTGCTGGATATTTGTGCTAGCTGTAAATCGATTTTTATAATTATTTTCTTATGGATATCGGGTCTATATGAATTTTAAATTAAAAAAAGAAACATGCATATGAGTGCAATAATTATTATTTAAAGTAGTTTTAAAGTCGTGTGCCTTTTTGTTTAATAGTGTTTCTTATCAAGTTAGTTATATTTAGCTACCTAGTACTATATAAAGATAGAAAAGAGAATCATTATTACTGATTAGCATAACAACTTTTATTGTACACATTAAATGTATTTTTTATGATCTAGCAAAGAAAATTAAGTCATTGAAAATTATTCATCATCTGAGAATTGCTGCATTTTGAGATTTGCATTTATAAACATTTATTATAATTTATAAGGTAACAAATATTTGTTTAATTTTGGAATTGAGCTTATATGAGTTATATTCTGAATGAACTGGGTATTAAATTTTTTTTAAAGTACCCATCCAAGTATATATATATATATATATATATATATATATTACCTTATGTGCCGTATATATATATATATATATATATATATATATATATATATGCCGTATTTTGATATAATCTTTATCCATTACTTGCAATTAGTGTTTAACTATTTAAACTAGTAATATGGCATTAATATTTTAGCTATCGTAATATAAATAGAATGTATCAAATAAATAAATCTAGAAACGGTCATAAACAAATTTAAACACTTCTATAAGCTGTTTAAAATATAATTAATGTCTATTCGCAGTAATCAGATATTCCATTCAAAGCAATATTCTCATACGTTTTATTTAACATCCGGTTTTATAAATGAGTTGTAAATGAAAGTGGCTTCTCATCGAGTGACTATCTCTTCAAACTTACCGCGTTGCCATTTTTACGACGTGACCGAGCTTATTTAAATGTTAAATATGATGTAAGTTAATTTCTCCAGGTTTAATATTGGTTAATTTTCTACTGGCCCATAATTGGCTAGTTATAGTACGTATGAATAAACTGTACGCGATATGTCAATATTTAAAAAGAAATAAAGAAAGAAATACATATATTACGGGATAAAAACTTCACGCGAAATGTTTTTACCGACAATTTTTGTGGTTAAATGTTCAATTTTTACTTTGGCAAATATTTTTGTCTATTTAATATATGATCAGGTATTGGAAATCAATGTTGAAGTCAAGTGGATGAAAAACAATAAGTTCAGTGAACGCTTACCTTTCATGCTCTAGCATTTTCCTCGTCAAACTCTCTTTCTTCTTATCTCTCCGTAGGGTCATATTCTTCTCCAGATCTGCTCTCTCTTGCTGATGTCGTAGAGTAAGAGCACCAATTTCAGCATCAGGTCTTCTCTTTTTCACTTGCATTTCTTGCTGGAATCTGTTTGTTAACCGTTCCAGTTCCCTTTCCCATTCATCCTGAAGAACCAGTTTTTATCATAAGTACGATTAAGTGTAGAATTGTCAATTCAGAGTCAGGGACACGTTAATATGTTGAATATTATTTAAAAAATCTATGTTAGAATGATATTAAAAATAGAAAATAACTTAAAACATCTATTTAAAATAAAAACCAGTCAAGTGCGAGTCGAATTTGCATACGAAAGGTTCGGTACCATCGTACATGTACTTTTTATTAATATGACTTTTACTATATGTATGTAGTATATTAACTTCGATGACCGATTACGAAGGTTAAAAAAATGTAGTAGTCTAGTATTTTTATATATTTTTTATTATGTATTTGTTGTTTATATCTGCAGTAAAAATACACACTGTCAAAATTTCAACTCTCTACCTAATACGGTTCATGAGATACAGACAGCCCTCTCACAGACAGACGGACAGCGAAGGCTTAGTAATAGGGTTCCGTTGGCACCCTTCGGGCACGGAACCCTGAAAAAGTAATGATACTCTTAAACTTTTTTTAACACCAAAAAAATGAATTTAGTTCAACAGCTTGAGCTCGGTGTTTAACAAAGCCTACTATTTGGTGTAATAATATTTAGTGACTGATGGGGAAAATGATGGTTCAGAAAACCTGTTATGAGAATTTTTTAATAAGTAGCTTTCGAGTTTTTAATGGAGATAATAAGGAAAATTGTGTAAATATTTCTGGTCCTATCAAAAAAATTGCGAACGTAATTAAGGGCAGCCTAAGCGTTATAAAAACGATTTCTCGAAAAGCAGGTAATTTTTATCTGCCTTCTTCGACTTTAGTTGAATTGAGTGTGAAATTATGGTACCCATCTTTGTCAAATGAGTAAGTATAGGATGAGAGTTGAAAGATTTTTTCTATTTCTTTATATTAATGTATATTTATGTTATAACTGTTTATAATTTTTCCAAATATATAATATGTATTTAAAAATATCATAAGCATTTATAATATCATTTTCTAAGATAATTAGGTATTTATAGTTTTAAATACACGCGATTTATGTTCCAGTTACATCAACATTAATTTGTTGTGTTTAATTAAAATCTACGTTTTGTGTAGGTTAGAGCATTAAACTTTTTGGTTTGGATAAAATGTAATACCTGAATTTCTTCACGTATTCTTCTGTTTTCTTCTTCTCTGTGTTTTGAGAATTTTCTGTACAGATCATCTTCTTCTTGTCTATGTTTCATTTCCAATTTAGTTTGTTCATCTCGATCCTGAAACAAAACAAGTTAAAATTATTTTTCGAGACTTAAAGAAAATACTCATATTATGAATCCCAAATAATATATATGCATGTATATGTGTAATAATATATAGGGAAATTAACACACAGCAACATCTAGTTTCATGGTAAGCTACGAGTCCAGTGTTATGAATACCAGATAGTTGACACACTACACATATATAACTTTAAATACATACATATTATAAATAAATATAAACACCCATGACTGAAGTACAAACATTCGTGCTCATCACACAAATGAATCCCAGCGGACTCGAACCCGCGACCGCTGGCACAGCAAGTAGGGTCACTACAAACTGAGCGAAACGTGTTGTCAGAAAGGATGTTCCTTGATTTTTCCTTTATTTACGAAACCACGATCAATAGATTGACGTAGAATTTGACATAGACGTAGTTCTTGAGATGGAGTGGAAGTACAAGAGATTACTTTTTATTTCGATACATCCTGTAGTTGTATACATATGTATATTGTATATGTATATGTTATACTATATTGTATATGTTATACTATTACATTAAATTTTCAGAAATAGTTTTCGATAGGTTTTAAAATAGGAGAATCTATCAATTCGGTTATATTTATTGTTTGGGCGTGTCATGTAACATTTATGCTAATTGTTAATCAATTATTATAGTTGTTTTTTAACTGCCTCAAGGGATAAATTTGCCTCTAATATAAATTTCAAGAAAAAAATTCATCTCTAAGGATGGTTAATAATTATTTTTAACCTAATGTTGACGTCGGTGTACTTTTTTAGAATTGAAGATCATATAAAAATGTTTGACGATTAAAATGATCACCATGACATATGCGCCACATTTAATGCGATATAAACACGACTTCCGGTGACGAAAGGTTGCTTACCCGCCAACGATTAGATATTTAGAGTGTGAAATCTTAACGAAATAGTTCTTGCTAAACGATTGTAAAACAGTGTTTCACGTTGGAAAGATCTAACTAATAGCTGTCCGTAAAATAATCTCAATCAAATCGTAAAATATATTAATTCATATTTTTCAAGTATTATTTTTTTATTTTGGCTTTTAGACGTGCCAGTTGGGCACAGATTACTTCGCCAATGTCGTGTAAAATGGAGAAGACACGGTATAGATAAGGTATTGACCGGTTAAAAAAGAGAAATAATTCATTTTTTTAATCTTCCGCCTTAGATTTAAAGGATACTCATAATCTAACACTAAATTATATATCAACACCTATATATCCATGTGGTTATATAAATGAAATACATAATAACATTGAATGTGTATTAAATGTAAGCCAAAAGGCTTGTAGGTGTTTATTTATGTAAGTAAAGATGTTAGAATGTTGTAATCAAATGAAAAACGCTTAGATCTCTAATATAATCTAGAAATATACGTTAAAAGGCATTAATTATACTATGTGTATCTAGCACCTTACACAACCGTTTATTCGAATGCAAGTTACAAAATAAGTCCGAACTATCTTAGGAATGATTTATGTTGTGGGAACAGAGTTTGCAATTCGAATAACCTTTCACATAATATAATGGACACATCGCTTTGTCGTTCGCTTCCGGTATTATGGGAATGAAAACTACAACTAACTTACAAGTATTTCACTAAGTTTCTTTTTAAAATGTTAGGGAATATTTTTTCTGATTCATATGTACCTAGATGAGTGCCTATCTTTATAAAGGCAAAGAAACCGGATTCAATAGGTCCCCTTTGTCTATAAAAAAATATGAGATAGTTGGCTAAAAGGCTAAAAATAAGCAATATGATGATAGTCTTACACAAGTCTCCATGCACCAGTCCGGTCCGGTCCATAGATTAGATAGAACAGGTAGACCAAAATTGTTGTGTGTTCTCTACGGTTGCTTAATACCATGGTATCAAAATTAAAAAAAATATATTTAATCATTTTTGGGATTCAACTCGCGCACTTTTTTACTTAAGTGTATATAGTATAGTGTATGTCACTCGATGTCAAATGCAAAACGCGATTATTATTAGGACGTAGTTATGCAAAATAGATCCAACCACAAAAACTTACATTTGAGAAAACAGAAGTTTTAGTAAAATCGGTATATCAAAATAACAAAACCGTAGTTTTTTTTAATTGTGTTTCTGTATACATATAAGTTGATATGTAGGTGTCATTTATGACAGTAACTCAAAAAACGGTTTTCGTGGGCTGGATCCATTTCATATAACTATGACCATTTTTTAATGATTAAACAAGTTTTATATAAATATATACGATCAATACTAATAAGTATATAATACTAATAAATATTATAAAGTTGAGGTTACTTCCTAGTTTTGATATTTTTTTGTATTTGAACTTTAATCTCATATTTATCAGGAAATAAAATAGTCAGATTTTTTTTTCGAATTTATAATCATTATTTATGTTAAAAATATATTATAAATTAACACACAGCACCATCTAGTTCCATGGTAAGCTACGAGGCTTGTGTTATGGATACCAGATAGTTGATACATTATACATATATAACTTTAAATACATACATATTATAAATATAAACATCACATATATAACAACATCCATGACTGGAGTACAAACATTCGTGCTCATCACACAAATGAATGCTCTCTCTCTGCACTGAGCCAAACATGTTGTCAAATTTCTTTAATCAATAGATAAAGTTAGCTGCTAGGCTAACTAAATTCACGGTTCGATTCTTAGAAGCGGAGCAATTATAGATAAATAATATTTTATTTAGCGAGCGCGAGCGAAACCGTAGGCAAAAGAAAAATCTAGATAAATCTAGAAAAATTATAAATGCATATAACGTAACGTCAATCAATTATAATTCAAAGATTTACATGACATCGATGCCTGCAAGTGTCGTCCCTTGTGGAAAGTGAAGCGAGTCGTTGAACCCACTGATCGTTTCGATTGATATGTTTGTTGCGTACCTGCCTTGAATGGTACAATTGTTTTGAAGTACATCCAGTTATTAATCAATCTGTACTTATAAATAAAAATGAAAGTTTACAAACTCAAAATAACTTAGTTCTAAGTAGTAAGCAAATACTTTAGTTCGTTTTAAATTGGGGATCCCACGGGATTGATTTTTTTGTTGATATCAAAGTAAATTATAAAGATTGAGCTATTTCATCCAGAAAAAGCTGTGAGTAATATGTGAATTCATTAATATATTTAAAAAAAAAATAATAAAAAAAATAAGTTATGTCTACTAGTACATTATAACATATCCATATAATCTATACTATTTTAATGATTATAAGATAAAACACTACGAGGTGTATTTCCTATATCTATACATATAATAAAATTGTAACTAAGCCGAATCTGTACATTAAATATTTTTTGGAAAATCTTATTGAAATAAACATTATTATCGATACAGAGGCCGAATCTATAGTTTTTAGAATTTTTGTCTGTCTGTCAGTCTGTCTATCTGTCGTCTGTCTGTCTGTTACCGCATCACAATAAAACCAGTGGACGGATTTTGATGAAATTTGGTATGGTGATAGCTGGTTATCCGGGTCAACATATATGATACTTTTGACTGCGGGAAAATGTCTCATTTCTGAGAAAATATACAAATACTGCAACGTAAGAGTATACTAATATGTAAAACCTAAGAGTATGGTTTTTGGTCATCTGAACGCAGCCGGAGCCGCGGGCAATGCTAGTACTAAATATAATGGTAATTTATGTTATAAGTTCTCGTATCAATAGTTTTCATTCGACGACTTACAGAGATGATGACACTGATACCGTACGGTCTCAAGCAATAAATGACTAAATATTTATGTTTCCCACAAGTTTATTCAAGGTGGGTTTCATTCACAAATCGAAAAAACTCAAAGCTTACGTCATTCTCAGTGTAAGTAGGGCGAGTCGTTTTATTTGTCATTTTATATGCGTTTAAAGTACATTGAACAAAAAGCGTGCCATTGTCATTTACTTCATTGCGTTTTATTATGTGGAGATGCAGACTACGTGGCTTGTATGACAATTTTGTGATCGTCGATAACAAACTCTGTGCAATACTGACGCGTTGTTGACAGTATATTTAATGATATCATTAAAATATTCGAATTATTATCGATAAGAGGCAAACATATTCGACAAAATTGCTTTCGTACGAATTAATTATTTTGATAACTGTATATTGTAATCAGTAGCGAGGAACAAACTCGCCGGTCGGTCGTGTTTGCTGTTATCTAAATAAAAAAAAATATGCTTAAATTAGTAAGAGGATTGAGACGATTGAACGTCCGGCAATACAGCTATTCTACAGTAATAGGAAGTGAGCCAAACAAAAATGATCCTTATTTTCAAGAAAATAAGGCGAAAATGGACGAGCTCGTCCAGGATCTTCGTTTGAAAAACAAATGAGGCCATCAGAGGCGGTTCCGAGGAGGCGGTTAAAAGGCACACGGCGAGGGGTAAATTGCTTGTGCGGGACAGGATTAACCGGTTAGTCGACGAAGGAAGCGATGTTTTAGAATTAAGCACGTTGGCCGCCACCGATATGTACAAAGGCCAGGTGCCGGGTGCCGGCATCGTAACTGCTATCGGTAAAGTTCAAGGTCAAGATTGCATGATTGTTGCGAACGACGCTACCGTTAAAGGAGGAACTTATTTTCCTATCACCGTGAAGAAACACTTACGAGCTCAGGCAATTGCACAAGAATGCCGGCTTCCTTGCATTTATCTCGTCGACTCCGGCGGCGCTCATTTGCCTGATCAAGCGGACGTGTTTCCGGATAGAGAACACTTTGGTAGGATATTTTACAACCAGGCTAATATGTCAGCTGATGGTATCCCTCAAATCTCTGTCGTTATGGGATCATGTACTGCGGGTGGTGCATATATTCCGAGTATGTCTGATGAGAGTATTATTGTAAAAAATCAAGGTACAATTTACTTAGCTGGACCACCATTAGTAAAAGCGGCTACTGGTGAGTCTGTCTCATCGGAAGCTTTGGGAGGAGCTGATTTACATTGTCGTCAGTCTGGAGTGACAGATCATTATGCTCAAGATGATGAGCATGCATTACACTTGGCTAGGAATGCTGTATCTAATCTAAATTGGAACAATGATCAGCGAGCCAGAATCGTGACACCAAAGGTCGAAGAACCACTATACGATATTGAAGATTTGCATGGAATTGTTGGTGCAAATATACAAAGGCCTTTTGATATTCGAGAAGTAATCGCCAGAATTGTCGATGGCAGTAGATTCCATGAATTCAAACAACTGTATGGCGACACATTAGTATGTGGATTTGCCTTTGTATATGGTCATCCTGTGGGTGTTATAGGTAATAATGGTGTTTTACAATCGGAAGCTGCTTTGAAAGGCTCGCACTTTATTCAACTATGTGCCACTCGTAAAATACCGCTTTTATTCTTACAAAATATTACTGGTTTTATGGTAGGAAGAGAAGCTGAAGCTGGTGGAATTGCTAAGAATGGTGCGAAAATGGTGACAGCAGTAAGTTGCTTTAAGGGACCGAAAATAACAGTTTTAGTGGGCGGTAGTTTCGGAGCTGGAAATTATGGTATGTGTGGAAGAGCATACTCTCCCAGTTTCTTATACATGTGGCCAAATTCAAGGATTTCTGTTATGGGAGGGCCTCAAGCCGCTACGGTTCTATCCTTGGTGGCGAAAGAAAAAGCTCAAAGAGATGGGAAACCTTGGACGGATGAAGATGAGAAAAAAATTAGAGGGCCTTTAGAAGCTCAATTTGAAAAGGAAGGACGGCCTTATTATAGTACAGCTCGACTATGGGACGATGGTATAGTAGCTCCTAGGGATACAAGAAAAATAATAGGCCTTAGTTTATCCGCTGCTCTGAATGCTCCCTTCAGAGACAGTAAATTCGGTGTGTTTAGAATGTAAGATAAATGTGAAGGACAGCTGTGAATGTGATAAGGCGTGGTATACGATAACAGGCTAAAAACTGTAATTGTATAATTATATTATAAAACTTGATTTATATTTTGATAGTGTTATCAGTGTGACTATAAGACAAAGAATTTTTATACATTAACTAAAAACGTAAGTAATAGTTATGTTTTTTAAATGTTGCTGTGTATTTCCAAAAAAAAATAATTATTAAAAAATGTAATTAAAATAGAATTTTCAGTTTTGTGATCTTAGATAACCGTATCTCTGGATCTACTGAACCGATTTAGATAAAATTTGGTAAGAATTATAATATTATGTAGAATAATATTTGGTAGATAGTTGAAAGTATAATATTTGGTAGATAGTTTGAGACTCTAAGAAGGACATAGGATACTTTTTATCCCGAAAATCATCCCTTAATGGGTTGATGAAATGGGAATGAATGTTTGTATTGGGAAGCAAGCAAGTGTGTTAATAAAAATATAGTTGATAATATACTCGTATCTCATTAATCAATTCGGATCAATGATTGCCGGCGTGACACTATAGCAACCAGCATAAACTGTAAGTCAAGGATATAAAGTACATTCTTGGGTGATACACTAAAAATGGTAGTGCATAATAGAACAATAGTACGATACAAACAATTGTTGTTATACATTATTAATGCAAATGAACTGTGTACGGGACCTCAAATCTACGTATGTAGTGCCTTTTACAGTTAATTATCAAGTGTCAGGTGGTATTGAGATAAAAACTATCATTATAAAAATAACTAGCATGCCTGATTTGCCTGTAATGAATACTTGTCTAAATGTTTTATTAACATAGATTAGGTGATGAAATAAAATCTTTATTAATATTATAAAGAAGCAGAGTTTGTTTGTGTAATACATGTGTCAACAAATCTGACAGACTTCCATATATTATTGTAAAGGGAAGGGAAAGAAGTTTATTTTATTGTACTTTGAACGCGAGCGAAGCCGCGGGTTCTGTTAGTCTAATATATAAATATCCCCGAAACGGCTGGACCGATTTTAATAGGTTTTTTTTTGTATATTTGGTAGGTATGAGAATAGGTCGTAAAGTATTTTTCAGCCTCCTACCCCCACCTTCCATTTTTTTATCGCAATTTTAGTATTTATGTATCAACAAAATTATATAAATACATAGCGACGAACCCGAGCGAAGCGAGTGAGTTGCTGTATTACATAAAGCCAAAGAGTTTTTTAATGTAGATTGAACGCGGCCGTAGCCGCGGGTTCTGCTAGTATAGTTATAAAATACAATATTGTTTACGTTTTTTCTGTCAGGAATTTAAGTTGAATTCTTTCAGACATTTATTTACACAAAAACCAACATGCGGATGTTTTTCAATGAATAAATGTGTGAGTTAATTACTCTTTCACACTGAAAAGGTTAAACTGCTTTAACCGATTTCCAAAAAGGAGGTTATGAGTGTAGTTCTTTTGACGTAAGTATAGGCTACTTTTTATCGCCAAACAACATACTCGCGAATGTTGCCGCAAGTAAAAAGTAGTACTAACCTATCAAATTTATCTAAGCACATTAATATTATTATTTTTTTGGGGAAAACATTGATAATTTTAAAATTGCAATCAATTCAAGAAATTCGAAATACCTACTTAATTATAATTATATTTTTTTGTTTATTGTGAGAAATGTTTATTTTATATATAAATGTTAAATTTAAGTTATATGAACCAATAGGTTTGACGTAGTGGAGTCTGGGCTGTCGTTATGCTAAAAAAAAAAGATTCCGACGAATTGAGAACCTCCTCCTATTTGGAAATCGATTAAGAATGTAAATTCTGCTTTACATGCGCATCATTGATCATAAAATTCTTACCCAGAACAAAGAATTCACAACAATACCTCCATAATGGATACTCGTATTATAGATTTTATAGAAGATTCGAACGGATCCGTCGTAAAAAATATTTTCTATTAAAACATGAAATATAGTTACTTATAAAAAACCTAGTAATATAGTGACAAATTATTTATTTAAAAATTCGAATGAATATTGAACTATATTAGGTTTGCCCATGACTTCACTGAGCTATTACCATTCCGATTTTCATTCAAGTCCGTTGAACTCTGCCTTTCGTATTTATAATATAGCTAGCATATTTACTAAAAAAATATTTAATTATTGTTTAAAAAAAAATCGCAACTAGCAACACTGTCGCTTAATTGTATGTATAAATTAATAAGTACAACATCTGAACTCTGAAGTAAACTTACATCACCCCAATGAGAACAACACTGTCCTGGATACATCATAGACTATATTTTACGCTTTCCAATCTTAGCCGCACGCGCAGTTTTTGCTACTGGCATTCTTCATAAGAAATTCTCCACTTGCTATGAGTATTAACAAAGTTAATTGATAATTTGTATGCCGAATGCACATCTGAGGCGATCTGTTTTTGTCCCGCATTGTCTGTGCGGTAATCGGACTTGGAGAACTTTCTGGAATATATTCAAATAGTTGACATACTCTAGATGTTGGTGCAACTCAGATGTTTTAAATAGCTCGGCAAAGAGGTTTTGTTGATATCATTAGGTACTACCTGTACTAAACATAGTGCGTGTAAACATCGCAGTGTTAATAGCCACCAAAGAACATAACACGTAGACCGTAATTACCTACATACTCATATATAATAAACTGGTACATATTTTACTCTTTTCTAATTTGAGAGTAAAAAAAAGATTCTGGCTGAACAGAGGATAATTGAAAGATTATACTAATATTATAAAGAGGAAAGATTTGTTTGTTTGCTTTGCTTGTTTGTTTGTTTGTACCGAATAGCCTCCGAAACTGCAGAACCGATTTAGATGAAATTCCTCAAGAAGATAGTTTGAGATTCTGCGAAGGACATATGATAGTTTTTATCCCGGAAATGATCCCTTAAGGCCAACCCAAGCGAAGCGAGGGTGAGCAGCTAGTAAATCCATATGTAGATTAAATCAAATGGTTAAAGAGTACAATACATTGCTATGAATATAATTGTGAGCTGATTAAAACCCATTGTACTGTGTACAGTAATTTATCGCTTGATTAGAGGTAGAATTAAAGGTATATTGTCGCAAGTAACAACTATTCAAGGCAACAATAGTACGAAGCAATAAAATGTATCGTTATCTATGTAAATGCTATTTAACTTTCTTCGAGTCTAAATATGAATGTAAAATGCAAAATGTTGATAATTCTTTTACTTTGTTAATTAATGAATATTTAATTATTAATAATTAATACTGTAATTATTCAAATTTTAATTATAGCTTTAGATAAGATCACATTTAAGTAGTTTAAACTAAAAAAAATGCATATAATATTTCAGCAAGCCAACTCTCTGGCAACACAATGTGACGTTTCAGATGCATGGCACTTGGCATTGCTTAGTACACTGAAGGTCGCGGATTCTATTTAACATATGACTATATATATTACTTAGATTTTCTGAAAAAACATGCAATAACTTTTGAGAAGACGTGCAAGCCGCGTCCCACGATAAGAAGTTAAAATTTAAAAGGGTTGAATTTTAATTTATTTCAATTTTTTTTAACTATATGGGTTAGATATAGATAGCCTATAACAATAGATTTAAAGTGATAATTTTTAAATTTGTATACATACTAATTTTTTGTAATATTTTTTATATTTGGGTTGTCAGAGAACTGATTTTAAAATAGTTTATATACTACTACTACTAGTTTATATACTACTAATAACAAAAAATGAGTCAAAGCTCCCTTAAACATGACAAGCAAATATCAAGATGGATATGAATGATAACCATAGATAGTAATGCGAGGTAAATCCTAAAGGTAGATAACAATTTTTCGCTTAAATCAATTAAACATTAAATGAAACGTAGCGTTAATTCATTTTGAAGTTGTAAATTTGATAATCGCTTATAACATGTTTTGTGGGTGGTGAATAATTGGCTTCATATCGGAGGCTACAGGCTAAAGGTACTGTGTAGAGGCGCTATAATAGTTAAGAAATGTGTTGGTGTCTTTATGGTGTAGAGCGATGGAAATCACATTATCATATTTCAATTAATTATTATTGTACATTTATCTTTATCAGTTATTGTATACTAGCGACTCACCCTCGCTTCGCTTGGGTTCGTCCCGTAGGTACCTACCTACGTTTTAGTAAAATAGTATGGATATGGATTATTAGTATTTAAGATAAAAAGTCAAATGTCTAATTCGGTAATAATTGTTTTTTTTTATGATGGAGGTACCTGGTTAGCAAAGGCGAACGATTTAAGAATAAAGTGTTTTGCTTTAAAAGTTTTGCAGTCTGTTTTATTTATAAATGTCGTATATTTGAAGTGTGGGAAAATATATTTTACTTACACTTAATTTGCAATGAACAAGTATAATATCATTTACCTTTTTTATTTATTTACGATCCAACGATAGAGACCTAAAATAACGTGTTTTTTTCTGAACATATGGCCCGATGCACACTACAGTGCCGATCACGGTTCGTTATCGGTCTGGTATTGTTTGGTCTGGTAAAGTATTTTCACAAGAATACAAGAAACAATGAGTGACAAACATTATCGGTAAGAGTCAAGTTCGGGTCGAATCACACTCTAACAACGTTTCTTGTATAAAAATTATTTACCAGACCGATATTGGACAAAAACGAAGCGTGGTCGGCACTATAGTGTGAATCGATCCTATACATTATACCATCTCGCATAACTGCATTAATCCACAGCTAAACAATATCTTAAGTATTCTACCTTGCGGCTCTAATAGGCCACGGACCCTACAATAAACATCTATTTAACTTAGGTATAACTGACAGCCCACTCTGCAGAGCCTGCATGAGGGCAGATATAATTTTACATTGTCCAGGTGTAGCGACGTACCGGGCTCAACATCTTGGCACCCCTATTAGACTCCCGGAGGTCTTCAGTAAGACGAAGAGACTGCTG